GAGGTCCATGTCGCGTACCTCTCTCTCTCCCGTCTCTGTCTCTCTCATGTGTTGGGTGCGTACCCGGTCATCATCATTTGGTGGGCCGTGTCGGGGATCACCATGATGATGCTAAGCAGATGGATTACGTATCTGTACGTACACTACCTAGGTACTGCCAGGAGTCAACGCATCGTCCGTCCGGGAAGAATAGGTAGTCATTGGCATACCTACGCCGTGGACACCCTCAGACACAAGTGGAAGAGGGACGACGACATGGAGACGCGTTGGCGGAAGGGTCGGTCGGTTGAGAAGCTCTGACCCTCTTTTCTCAAGGTCATTACGATCCCTGGAAATCAGTACGTACCGAGGAGCTCCAGACAGTGAAAGAGCTTGCATACAGACCCATTCTGGCCACTGTGAGGGTACCCACGCCCACTAAGTACGTGCAGCATGCAGCTTGCGCCTAGCCAGTGAACGGACCCTGTCAGGCGCAGGTGGGCCCACCTGGTCCGCCAAGAAAGCCATTTTCGCCCTTCCCAGAACTATTAGTCGTCCCCCCCATTAATCCTCCGCCATCCCATCTGCCACCTGCCACTCTCTTGCCGACATCCAGGTCCCAGCCAACCTTTTCCTTCTTCCCATCTAACACCGCCTCTCCAGACGAAACCCTCTCACCGACACACCTCTCGCAAACTCCCTACACACACGTTATTACTTCACCCACATTCCTCACCATCGCAGAGACAACAACAAAAACAACCCTTGAATCAATATTCCGACATACACTTGCGGCTTCGAGATCAACTCCCTTGCCCTTTAAGCCCCTTCGCGCGCCCTACATACAGAGCCACCTGGCGCATTCCAATCAAGAACTTTCCCTCCTCTCTCCTCCCGTCGCAAAGTCGCGCACAACTGCAAAACCTCCTCCTTGCTGTCGCGAACCCGCCAGCCCCCACACACAAACACACACACACACACAGAATCCCTTCAACCAAGACCGGCAGATACAAAAGCGCATACCTACTGCCCATCATGCTCATGCCATCCGCCTTCTCTTGCGACACATCGCAGCCACCTTTCACCCGCCTCCAAGCCTCCCTGTTCGCATCGCCTCCCGCGAGCCCTCCAACCCTCTCGAATCCTGGCTTCGGTAACATCTTCGACACCTGCCGCTCCCTCCAAGCCCTCCTCTCGGCACCCCAGCACCACCAGACCGCCGCCGCCGCCGCCGCCGCCGCTCCCGCCTGCGACGCGCAGCAGTATACTCTGCCGACGCCGGCGCAACTCCCGACACCGCCCCTCGCCCACGCACCGCCCCCCCTCAAGCTTCGCCTGCGCTCGCGCGCGAAGCAGGATGGCGCCGCTCACAGCGATCACCACCCGCGCAAGCGCATCGCAAAGCGCGCGCCGCCTCGCGGCATGAACAAGCGCCGGCGCGCGGCCGATGACGAAATGTCGCGCAGCGACACGGACGAAGACATCGAGAGCGACCTCGAGATCTCGTCACAGCGTCAGCCCTCTGTCGAAGGTCAGAACCAAAATAATACAGCCATGTCCTCCGGGCCAGCCACACCCAAGCGCGCGCGCATCGCGCCCGAGGTCATTCCCCTCGGCCTCGGCCGCTCTGACTATCACACATTACACCTCCTGAACGGCGGCGATGGGGTGGACGGGAACAATACAGAGGAGGGGCAGGGCGCCAACGTGGAGGTCGAGGCGGACGGCGAGCCTTGGAGCGCCGAGGAGGACCGTATACTCGTTGAGCTCGTGCTCGAGAAGCTCCAGCTCAGCAAGACGGAATGGCAGGAATGCGCACGCACCCTGGGCAAGGACCGGAATTGCTTATCACGGCGGTGGAAGAGCCTGATGCTTCAAGGAGAAGTCGGCCTCAAGGGCCGGAGGACCAGCCGGAGGACCAAGCTCCACAGCACCTGGCGATAAATTGTTCACCATCATCTGTTCACCCGGATCGTTTTCTTCCGTGTGGGTTCACGAATGTGTGTCCTTCCCAGGGTCGAGGGATGATACAGGATGCCGTATCTGGCCGGCGTCTGACGTACCTGTTCAACGGGCGAGATACCCGGAACTGGATTGTTATTTTGGGACTACAATACTTGCCTTTTCTTCTTCTTGTTGTAGCGGTTTATGGCGCGACCCATCTTGCGCGCTTGATCTCGAGCTGGACCAGCTTTTGAGTTAACAATTTCATCGTTTCTTCTTCTCATTTTCCTTTGTTGTACACAGTTGCGTCATCGCGACCGAGCACCAGAAGAGAGCTTCCAATGGTCTGCGAGACACATAACATTTAGTATTGGTAGTCTTGTTGCAGAGGTGCCCGAATATAGACACAGACCAAACTACACACAAACATTCCTCTGACCCGTTGCACGTTCCTGTGAGTAAATCTTCGCTGTATGCGGCCGATGACAAGGCCGGGGCCCCCGACCATTCCACCTCGTTGCATTTTTGGTCTGGGACATGCAGTGCCGGCGTCAAGTCTTGAGTCTGCATGCGTCCGGTCCTGTCTGTCTGTCACGTACGTCTGGCCCGTCGACTGGTAGGGGGGGGGAATCACACTCTCCCACACTTACATTCAGTAATGCAGAGTTGACTTTTGTGTGATTGGGTTTTCGGATGGGCGTCACTTCCATGTGGCGTTTTGCAAGAGCTAACCGCGCACCCATCAAAGGAGCCCTACGACAACGCCGTAGGCCGCCCTTCCCGCGAGGCCGTTTGACCTGCCTTGGGCCGCTCAGACGCAGACGAAGGCGGGAGGAGGAGGAGGACGAGAGGGCCGGAAACAGGCGGCCACTGCTACACCACCAGCAGAGCGCGCGGCCACGACAGATGGCCGTCGCGCCGGTTCCCTGGGGTCGCGCGCCATGCTCTCTCTGCCCTTTCCCCCCACCCCCGGCCACACCCAGCCTCCTCCCTCCCCTCCCTCTCCCTCTCCCCTCTTCACTTCACACGCTGGGTTACTTTGTAGATCTGACGGCGTTATCAGTCCATCACGATAGTTGCCCGGTAGCGAGGTGGGTACTCCCGTCCCCTCCCCCTCCCCGTCCACGATGGGAAACTAAAAGTAGCAACGGCGACCCAGCCGCTCAAGAGGGGGCTGGGCTTGGGCCTAGGGGGAGAGCCAGCCCGCCACGAAGCTTCATCCCGTCTGTTTCTTTGATTGCCTTTTCGTTCGTGGCCACATGCGCTCTCGTACGGATGCGGCGCTGTCGGGCGAGAGAGGGAAGGAGGACATGCGGAGCACGGGCTTTTCCCAAGTTTACCAGCTCCGAATACAGTGACAAAACAAACCAACTCCCCCTCCCCTTCTCTTCAATGACTTCCCTCTGATGATAATAATGATGACGCCGACAACGACGCGACGAACGCGTCCCGTTATCGCGGGACGCAAGGGATGGCTGGGTTGCTTCGACTTTGTCGATGGTTGGGAAATGGCGTTGAGACATTGTGGGGAGAAAGGAAGAAGGCGCCGAGGGGGAGAGGGGGGGAGGGGGGTGCGAAAGCTGGGAAGAACTCGGACCTGCAGTTCTCTTGGGCAAAAAACAAACACCCCAAAGGGAATGAATGGCCTGGAAGGGGGTTCGGGAAGCGCTGTTATAGGTATTCATTGGTAGAAGGGGGGGGGGCGGGACAGCGATAGCGCGAGAAACCCTGCACTCGCCGCCGCCTATCGGCTCATCGATGTGCCTGAAGAGGGGTGGTCCCTGAAGTGAGCCGTCGGCCAGGCACAAGGAAAGGGAACCCCCGCCGCCCCGGTTGGAGCCGAGCTCTGGGGGCCAGAAAGCGTTTGTTGTGTGTCAGTGGCCTGTAGACGCGTGTAAGTGAGTGAGTGAGCGAAGCGTGTGTGTATGTGTAAGAAGTGAGGGCTGTGTCTCGCTCAATCGAAATCACCTCAGCTCACTCCCGCCGTCTCAGCTGCTCGCTCAGATCCGAACGGACGTAGCATTTTCATCTCGCGACTCGGATCGCCGTCTTCCCCCCCCCCCCATCCCACCCAAATCTCCATCTATCCTCACCCTCGGCTTGGCCTGCCCACCAACTTCCTCAGCGAGCCCCAGCCGTTCACGCCCCTCCGTCTCACGAGCTTGGGGAGAACCAAGGAGCCTAATTTTCTGTCTCTCTGTGTCCATGCTTCTCCGTCTGACATGGGGGGAAAAAAAGAAAAAAAAAAGAAAGAGGAAAGAAAACAAACATCGGCCAACGTCGCGACGAAAAGGGGGCCGGAGCCAATGAGACGGCTTTGAGACCTTCTCTACCGATCTGGTTCATCGCCGGCCGGCTCAGTCGCGCCCAGTCCTCACCCAGATCGCGCGTCTCTCGAACGCAGCAGACGGCGGCCGACGATGTCAAGGGATGACCGAGACATTCTCCAGGGACGGATGGATGGCGCGAGCCAAGAACCAGACTTGCAAGTCATCATCGCATCCCTGCCTTGAATAACGAGCCCCTCGACCCATCTTTTCGGGTTTCCACCTGCTCACCAATCACCATCATCGTCGCGTGAGGACTGACGGACGTAGGAAGCGGGGGAGGGGTGGGCGGAGAGATGCATATGTAAACCGTCGTGCGTATGGTCTCTATATTTGCCTGCCTACACCATCTTGGCTGTCTTCCCCTTTGCTGCTCTCGCCGAGGCAGAAGCTAGACGCCATCATCGTCACTCTCCTCATGACTGTCACAATCCGTTGCGTTGGTCACACGGAAATATCTCACTCGGTCGAGGTGGTCTTGGGTGAAGTGAATCACACGGAGACCAAGAACGCGTCTCGTGTTTTGAAATTTCACAAAGGCACTAGCTAGAGGGCTAGAGCCATGAGATAAGCCAACGATTGTTCCGAAACCACCAGGCCGAAGCATGCTTTGCTGCCATACCAATTGCCACGCAAGACTGAGCCATCTTAATTCCTATCATGAAGTCGTCATAGTAAGTTTCGCAACCCAGTCTGAACCATCCTGACTGCGCTGCACGCACTCTCGAGGCCCGGTTGTGGTTATGTCTATCAGTCGTCACCGTACGCCTCCTCGTACTCCTCTTCGTACTCCTCTCTGGCCTCCTCGAGACGCTCGTGGTCGCTGCTGCTGGCGTCCGAGTCGGCGGCGTCAGCAAGAGCCTCTTCATACTCCGCTCTGGCATCCTGAACATCCTCGCGGTCACTCGACGAGACCGATGAGCCGTCTGCGTCAGTGGCAGGGAGAACAGCCGGAGGCATGTCGGGGTCGGCATAGGGGTCCTGGTAGCCGCCGTACTGAGGCTGAGGGGCAGTTGCAGCGGCGGCGGCCTTGTGCTCGTCATCCGAGTCATCTATGAAGTCACGGTCAGTAAAATTTCCAAACGGAGGCAGCGACAAGCCAGAGGGAATACCCCCGGTTGATGGACTTACCAAGTGCGTTCGCGATCAGGGCGCCACCAACAGCACCGACGGCAAGACCACCGGCAGCGCCGAGGAGCATGCCGCTGCTGTTGCTCTTCTTCTTGTCCTTGTCGTCGTAGGGGTTGGTACCGCCCTGCTGGCCGTAGGGAGCAGGAGCACCGCCATAGGAGGGCTGACCATAGGAGGGCTGGCCATAGGGCGCAGCGCCGCCGTAGCCGTGGCCTTGGTCGCCTCCGAAAGCTCTATTGTCGGAGGAAGGGACGGGAGGCGGGGCGTAGGAGGATCCGCCCTGGGGACCGGTAGGAGGGGACGGGTGTTCCCACTGAGAACGGCCGGTGCTTTGGTCAACGTAGAACCAGCGGTTGTGGTTGGTATCCCACTGGACGAGCCAGCCGCTCGAGACGGGTGGGGCGGCCATTGGGGGCGCGGCGGACTGGGGAGCCGGAGGCGGGGTCTGGGCGTAGCTGGGCTGGCTGCCGTATCCGTAGCCCGGGCCGGACTGAGGCTGTGCCTGCGAGGGGTAGGGGTTGTTGGAGGGGGAAGCGCCGCCGTAGCCACCGTACTGCTGCTGCTGCGAGTGATCACCGTAGCCGCGTTCGCCTAGGAACCGTGCGAGTCAGTAACCTTATCACAACGACAGTTGTGTTTGGATGGGTTCTGCTTCTGGCCAGCATCGAGGTAAAGGGGAAGGCATAGAACGGTCCGGTACCGGGACCACGATAATTACGGCAAGGTCGTGACAGCCAGGCAGAGACGCATGTGAGTTGTGATGATCCAAAAACACACAGATGACATGCTCCCTCCTCTTGGGCAGGGTAGTTAATATGCGGATCACTTACCAGTCTGGAGCTGCTGGTTGTCCTTCTTCTCGGCAGGCTTGTCGTCGGAGAAGGAGGTTTTGAGCTCCTCAAACTCCTTGGTGAGCTTCTTGAAGAAAGACATGGTGGTTCTTTCTCGTTGATAGGGGTTACGCGTAGGGCAAGGTTGATGACTTGGTAAGGCGGATGGAGATATCTGGGTTGAGTGGTGTAGAGGCGGGGAGGACGGATGAGACGGCAGAGGCCGAGAAATATTGAGGGGCAACGTGGGAAGGCGCAGCGCTGCGTAAGCCCTTTTCTTTATTCTGGGGCGGTCGAGGAGTCTGCGGCAAGAAAACAGAAAAGGGAAAGAGGTGGAGGAAAATATGGACAATAAAAAAAATGGCTAGTAGGCCCTCTCAGGAAAGAGCAGAGGCGGCGGAGACGGGAGGGAACCAAGCGAGGAAGGAGGGTCAACTGCGAGTCGCGAGGAAGTTCGCCAAGACGTCTTGGCACTGGGGCTCTTATACTGCGGGAGAGAAATATAATAGGCTCCGCGACGTGGATCACATCAGTGGATGCCTCGCTATTGAATTATGGGGTGTGAAGTGAAGCTTGCTGCGGGCGGGCAGAGTGCGGCGCGCAGCATGCGCAGCATGCGCAGTGTCCGCGTGGGGGTGTGTCCCCGTGTGTGAGAGAGACGTGTTTGAGGTCACCGATGGGCTCCCTCCCCGATGACCAGTCGGACGAGGTACGGTACGGGGCGAGTGAGGTTGGATGACAGCTTATGCCGCTGCACTCATCTGATAAGCCAAGGCACTTGCCTCAGGAGTGAGGGGCACTCTTCTGTGCTTAGACATTCCTGTGTAAGGCCATCAACTGAATGATACTTGCCCCAGCAATGGCGAATACTGAAGCCTGGTTAGGTAGGTACTTTGTGCATTCGCAAGGCATTCATCTAAGCGGGTGCGGGTGGCCCCTCGTTCACTGAGGAGTCACCACCTAGGTACTGTCGCCAGTAGCTAGCTATATCGTTACGGAGCCTTTTCCATATAGCGTATGGAGCAGAGGTGATTAGGTACGGTGGATGAGGCTCGCCAGCAAGGAGGAAGAAGGGCGGAGAACACAACTACAATTACACCTACACAACTACATTGCACAGGTAGGTATATTGCCTGGCGGATGACGATTGATGGTCGTTGATTGGAGGCCTCCCACAAGCCATCACCTAGGTATCCGTACAAGCTACAAACAGCTGAGAGGGTAACCGCCGGCCGGGAATCCGCGGTACTAAAAAATGCAGGGGCCCGACATGTCCCTACGTGTATGGGTGTGTCAAGTGAGCGGAGCGGAAAGCGGTACCGGGGGCACTGCGGGGGAGCGAGAATGTCAAGTTCGAGACGTGCTTCACAATTTTTGGGGACGTTGTATGAAGGGGGATGACAGCAGTGCTGGGCCTCACCGGAGCTCCGCCCTGCCAACCGCCGCCCGCCCGAGTGGTTTAAACAGGGCTTACCCGCGCCATATCCGGCTTAGCCTTGACCTGAAGCCCCCTGATGGATTGAGTTTCTCATTGGAGTAGTCGGCCCTGTGGGGCTAACGATTTTGCAGCAAGGTTGAGTCTAACCGTCTCAGGAAAAGATATCGGGCAGACAAAATTGCCGCCCGTCTCTTCATACCTTAATGCCACGTCCATGCAGACGGTAATGGTCACTCGTCAACTATGCAGCCATGCACAGTGGCCTGACCCGATGACGGACGAACACAAGACAAGGAAAGGGGGCTGTACTTCTCGCGCGTCTTGTCAGGCAGATGGCACTCCATCGTCGGTCGTGGCCGTCTGTGAATAGACGCCGCTGAGCCGTTGGCTATCTTGTCCGTATGACCCGACGTGTGGCAACGCAAGGCATGGTCTCAGAAAGAGGAGACTGCAAACCGTCCACCCAGGCTTGGCAACGGGTCTCAAGGCCGCTCTCAATGGGCTGCCGAGGAGGAGCTTGCATTTGACCTAACGCTTTTCGACGTGGACGCGTACGCCTGCCAAGAGAGGGCCAAGAGAAATCCTTGGGCTTGGCTACCGTCTTCGATGCCGACATATCCACCACCACTGTCCATCAAGTCGCCCACTTGAGATCCGGTACTCAGTCTGCGTTACGGTTCGACGGACGGGGGACTGCCTGCTCAACAGCGTGCGCCTATGATGTATGGATACAGAAATAACACAGAGTTTAGATGAACAGTCATCCCGTGCTCCGCCTTGGACTGAGCATCGAACTCTGTCCAAGTTTCTGCTGTCCAATCCGCGATATGCTTAGGAAAACTTACACCAGGTACCCACCGCCGAGAGCCCGGAATCCTAGAAGAACCCCGTTGTTACCCCCCTGCTTCGCTTGGCCCTCCTTTTACCATTTGCGAGCTAACATTGAACGAGGTGAGGTGGGCATTGGTTGGTTGGTTGTGCAGCGCGCTGGGAAGGAACCTCCTTGCGCCTACTATGGTATCGGGCCAAAGTTTAACCCCCTCGTCAGGTAAATATGGCTGTGCTTTTTTGATTACCTCAGCGACGGTACTTTGAGGTTCTTGTGCACATCCATCATAATTCTGGCCAGTGAGAGTCTAGCGTACGTGGGTCACAACTCCACACTACCTGTTAGGGAGTTTTTACTTACCCATCACACGTAGTAATGACTTGTGCAAGCGATCTGCGGGCCCGAAAGAGTGAATATAAGAGTGGGGCGGGGACCCCTTTTTGTTTTATGGACCCTTCCAAGATACGGTAGACCAAAGAGGAGGGTAAGACCCTCGGATCCCCTAAGATGGAAGTGGCTTACACGTAACGCGCGTATACCGTACTCCGGTTCGCAACGAAGTGCGACTCGCTGACAGAGGAGTAAGGAGAACCTAGGTGAAAGGCGAAGTAATATGTAGGTAGGTAGTTAAGTAGTGCCTTGAATCTTGGGCTATGATCCCGGCAACGGGTGACCTGCGTAGGTAATAAACATGACTGTTCTCTGACCGGCAGACCTCACATCCTCGATTCACCATTCCCTTCCAGTTTATTCTTTTTTATCCTCTCCATCACCCCCTGCCTGGAATTCGCATCTTTCCACCTCCTTCACTCTTTCCCTCCTTTTTTTGCGTCTTCCCTCCCGCGCAATCTCCCACCATCACCAACGTTCGCTTTGTTTACGCGAGCCCCATACACAACAGCCTCGCCTCATCAACAACTCCCTCGTAAACCTCAATTAACATGTCTGGATACCCTCCCCAGCAGCAGTGAGTTCCCCCCAGCGCGCGCTCATCCTCCAGTTCGCGAGACCGCCAAGACTGACCAGCGCCGCTCACCCAGGCCCTACTATGGCGCCCCCCCTCCTCAAGGTGGCTACCCTCCCCAGGGCTACCCTCCTCCCGGCCAGCAGCCTGTAAGTCCTCCCTCGTTATTCGCAGGAAACCTCGATGCGCAGGCAGCTGACAGCATGCCCGTCTAGATGTACTACCCTCCTCAGGGTCAGGCCCCCCCTCAGGAAGAGAAGAAGGACGACAAGGGCTGTCTCTACGGCTGGTGAGTATCAGCGGCCCTTCTATCGCCCAACGGCATCGTCGACTAACCCCTTATTTTTTCTTAATATAGCATCGCCACCCTTTGCTGCTGCTGGCTCTGCGGAGAGACCTGCGAGTGCTGCCTGGAATGCCTGACCTGCTGCTTCTAATCGCCAATACCACAACAAGAAATCCCGAGTGTGACAAATAATCCAAACAAAGAGATACCACCATTACAACCGCCGCCCTGGATGCGACCATGGCCTTAACTTCTTTTGCTCCCTGCGTCGGGGGAAAACGGTACGGATAGGGTAGGCAGGTCGGGATCGTGACTCGGGCGGCAGACGCGCGCTGGGGTCAGGGCACACGAGGGCGACTTCTTTTTGACTTGCGAATCGCCCTGTCATTTCCGACTTCAGGGCGGGCGACATGGCAAAAATTGCCAACCTGCGCGCCCAGATTTGTTTCGTGCAATGGGGGGAATAATGGACGGGCTACACGACATCGGACCCTCGGCTGGTTTTCTTTTCTTCTTTCCATCGACTATTCCCCCTTCTTATGATTACTCCCCCATGGCGATTGCGTCTCGCTTACCCCCCCCCCCCTCTCCTCGTCACCCGGGGCGGGACGTTCACGGGCCCTTTTTCGCTGCGGAAGGAAACGCAACTGCCTTGTATCTTCGGAGATAGTAACAAACAAAGCAACCGATTCCCACCCAAAGAGACCATTCAATTCACAGAGTAGCCAACCACAATCGTGGGAACGCATGTTTGATTGGGTTTCAATGTGTGTATGTTGTGCGTATGTGTTTGTCGTGTGGTCTGTCCTGCCAAGTCTGTCTTCGCCTTGCAAACCGCTGCCCGAACCTTTCCATCTCAATGTGCCTTCATCGGGGGGAAAGGGTATCAAAAGGCAGCCAAGTGTCGTGCGTTTCCCCCCCCCTTTTCCACCACTATCTTGTCCCCGTAACTAAAGAAATACCCCTAGAGATAACCCAACCCCCGTCAAAATGTTCGCCTACGCTTTGGCATCCCTTCCGTACCGAGTCTTATCCATTTCTTTAGTTTCTTTCACTTCTTGCCGTCTTTCGGGGCCATGAGCTGAACAAATTCCTGGTCTGTTGTGTTTTTTTAACGTCAGTCCATGGATCTTTCAAGAGTGAATGCTGTTAAATAAAGAATATGGGGTGGGGGCGGTGTTGGGGAAGCGAAAGGTGGTGCAGGGCGAACCTGAACCTGCCAGATACAAACCGCGAAACAAAAAAGGACGGGGACATCGGAACGGGGGAGGGGGTTCTGCTCACAGTCAATGGAACCATTGCCATCCAGGTCGGCGTGTTTGATCATCTCCTCAATCTCCTCGTCGGTGGCGCGCTGGCCGAGGGACAACAGCACCTGGCGCAGCTCCGAGGGCGAGACAGAGCCGCTGTTGTCCTTGTCGAAGACCTTGAAGGCGGCAACGAGCTCCTTGTTGGTGTCCGAGTCCTTGCTCGACGGCGCGGGGGCCTCGCTCATGAGCTGGAGGAATTCTGCGCACCTGTCAGTTGACGGGTGCTCGGGTCGGCCACAGCCCGTGGATGCGATGACGCATGGGGACCGCGCTGCGCCGGGCCTGGCTGTTTGGAGGACTGCTCACCGTTGAAATCAATGCCGCCATCGTTGTTGGGGTCGACTTCGGCGATGAGCTCGTTGACCTCCTTGATGCTGGGGTTCAGGCCGAGCGATTTCATGGCGATCTGAAACTCCTCGGCGTTGATGGCGCCTGGTGCCGGATGTTAGCCATGGGGACCGGGGGGTAACATGAGCTGTGCGGAAGCTGTCGCGTGAGGGGGGGCAAATGCGCGCGGTGCGGTCGGGGAGAGAAGGAGGGAGGACGGGGTAGGTGACGGAATTGAATAATGAGCCAAGTCGAGCCGGACTGGGCTACTAACCTGTACCATCGCGGTCCTGTTTCATGGGCAAAGCACCATTGTCAGCGAGAGATGTTCATCCCAAGGAGCGATAGGTCATGATAATCAAATCGCTGCGGGGGAAACTTGACGCGGGCAGAGCAGAGTCGTCGCAACTTACGAATATGGAGAAGACTGCCTTGTAATCTCTATACTCTGCCTCAGTGAGACCGTACGGAGGAGCCTTGCATAAAATTAGCCTTCGGTTATCGAGAGCAGAGTTATATCTGAGGCTGCAAAGCGAGGAAGAGGGGGTAGCTTCATCGGCGTCGCAGGCGAAAACGGACCATTTTTGAGCTTTGCGGGGTCGGGAAGCGAGTGAACGCAGTGTGGGTGAAATGGGGAATGCGTGCGAAGGGAGCTTCGATGACAGCCACGGCTTCGGTCGTTCGTCTGGTATAATTGCGTGCAACGGGCCAGATGGCTCAATCGTTTGTTGCTCAAGTGTGAATATTTGGAGGGGGGAGGGGAAGAGAAGAAAAATGGGTGGTGAGGAAAGGCAGAGAGCCCCTCGTATCTGTGTCTCGCCTCGGCCTCAGCCTGATTGAATGGCTGTCTCCTAGTACCACCCTGTTGCCGTCTCCCAGCTTGTTTTTGCCATGGTGTAAAGAAAAAAAAGATACACACGGATGCCGACACCGAGAACGGCCCATGCTTTTCGAGACTGAGCTGATGCTTGTCGCTACGTTCTTCACTGCGTATCACTCCATTTGAGTTCTTAGCAGCAAGCGACATTTCACACACATACAAACAACTACCGTACCAGATTGCAGTGCTGGCTTATCTGTTAATCATCATCTCTTTCTGGTCCCTCCCACGCGCACACAAAGGTACAAGCGGTACGGATACATACCTAGGTACCCTGTCCTGGCCTGCCCTACCTAGGTACCTCACCCGCATCACAGGATCGCCGGCATGTGAGGAATGACGCCAGGCTGCCCTACGGTGCCGTTTAGCGCCTGTGACGCCTGGGAAAGGGCTTGGCGCCCGAGCCATTCCCGCCCGCGGGCCTGCTAGGCGTACGCGGCCGCATCCACAACATTGAGCTATTGCTCGAAACGGTTTAGGCCCGCGTCTGTCCGGTCCTCTGAAATGGAACCCGGATTGCATTGCGGGCAGGCGGGCAGATAGAGACAGACGCAGGAGAGGAGGAGGAGGGCGTGGTAGATGCCCGATAGTATGCATCCCTCCGCCGCCCTCCGCCCTCTCTTTCCCGATTGCAGGTCTGGGCGTTTCCGTCCATTCTCTCCAGCTGTCTGCGGGAAGGGGGGGACTGGTAGCCAACTGGGTCTTGGCAACCCGAGGGGGGGCTCACGCCCGTGCGCCTGGCTGCTGCTACACTTCTGCGTCTAATTGGCGTGTGCTGATGTTGGTGGTGGTGAGTAATGATTCAAGCTCAGCTCGCACTGCTCGGCACTCGGTATTGAAGCAGCTCAATGTATTCGCTCATGACCAGTGTAGTTTAACGTTGCTTGCTTGCCCTTCTCCGGACGTTGGTTTTTGGCCTTGACAAGCTCATTGATATCCATTAGGGAGGCAAAGCAGCCGTTTGAGTCGACAAGCTCCTGGCATACCTTAGTCGACATGCTCTCAATCGAACGAGTAAGCGTCTTTGTCTTCTGAGGGTGGTGTGAATCCCAAGCCGAGCGGTCCAAACGCTTCACCAAACGCCCCCATCCCCGCCAATCTGGTGCAGTTGCAAGAGTGAAGCTCTCCCCCTTGCTGCCCCTCTTCCAACCCCACAACTCCGACCGCAACCTGTCTCATCCTAGGCTGCCTCTCTCCGGCTGCCCCTCCGTCACCTTCCATCCCGAGCCCCCCAAGGCCCCTTCCCAACCCAACCGCGGGAAGCTACCTATGTATAGTACCTGCCCAAGCGGGTGCCAAATTAAGCCGCACTCAGTGAAGTTGACTTAAGGTGGCCTGTGCTTTGGGGATCCACAATATGGTAGGGAGGTAGATGCTGAAATAATACCCATATACCCTATATTTTAGCGCATAGGCACTCGAATCAACCACTGTAATTTGTGAGTGCGGCTTTTTTTGTCACCCGCCTGCTGCCGTACCATACCACCTTGCCAGTGAGAGAGGTACCCAGCGAGGTACGCCGACCTGAAGGGACCCTCAAATGTAACCAGCCGTTTTCTCCTCGAGGGCGGACAGTCGCTCACATCTCAACCCCGCCACGCTTCTCTCACCCCCTTCGCATTCTATTCTTAATGACACCTTAATCTTCCGAGCCCGAAGTCAGTATCGTCCTTCAAACCCCTCCCCTCTGCAAAACCAGCTTTCCATTTGCTACTTGCCGGAAATTTTGGGGGCGAATTAGGCTACGCTTATTCACTCACAGTGGATTTTCCGCCCTCACCCCGCCTTTTCTCGTCACTAGCAATTCACTTCACCTCCGTCACAGAAACCGCGCGCGTGTGGGTGTGTGTGTGTGGTAAACAAAAACACAGGTTGCACAACAAAACCCCAGTACATCACTCACACAGCATCAACTGACCCCAACAAAGATGTCTGGTTACCCGGGACAGTACGGCTACGGTGCCGGTGGTCACGACGGAGGCTACGGCGGCGGCGGCGGCGGCGGTTACCAACAGGGAGGTTATGGCTCACAACACCAGGGCGGCGGAGGAGGCTATGGCGGATACCAGCCGCCCCCCGGCCCGCCTCCTTCGCAACAACACGGAGGCTACGGCGGCGGCTACGATCGCCCGCCCCCCGGTCCTCCTCCGGGCCAGGGTAGCTACGGTTACAACCAGCCGCCGCCTAACCCGTACCCGGACCAGAGCTACGTCGGCAGGTATGCCCCCCCTCCTCACCCGCCGCCTCCCGGCCTTGACGTTTATGGCTACCCTGTCAATTCCGGACACCAGGGAAGGCCCAGTGAGTATCGTTTCTCTCTCATCTCACCTCTCGTCGATACTGACTCGCTCTCAAGACATGCCCACGGTGAACTCCAACGACTGGGCTCATGGCAACCGCAACGCGCCGCCTCCTCCGCCCTCCGGCGCCCAGCAGTTCGGCCACGGCGCCCCTGAGGGCTACAGCTTCCAGTACTCCACTTGCCAGGGAAAACGCAAGGCCTTGCTTATCGGCATCAACTATTTTGGCCAGGACGGCGAGCTCCGCGGCTGCATCAACGACGTCAAGAACCTCTCGGCCTTCCTCGCCGAAAGGTACGGCTACAAGCGTGAGGACATGGTAATCCTCACCGATGACCAGCAGCAGCCCATGGGCCAGCCGACCAAGAACAACATCCTCCGCGCCATGCACTGGCTCGTCCAGGGCGCTCAGCCCAACGACTCACTCTTCTTCCACTACTCGGGCCACGGTGGCCAGACCGAGGACATTGACGGCGACGAGGACGACGGCTATGACGAGGTTATCTACCCCGTCGACTTCAAGGAGGCCGGCCACATCGTCGACGACGAGATGCACCACATCATGGTCAAGCCCTTGCAGCCTGGTGTGCGTCTGACGGCTATCTTCGACTCGTGCCACTCGGGCTCCGCCCTCGACCTGCCCTACATCTACTCCACAAAGGGCGTTCTCAAGGAGCCCAACCTGGCCAAGGAAGCCGGCCAGGGCCTGCTCAATGCCTTCACAGCCTATGCCTCGGGCGACCTCGGCGCCGTCGCGAGTTCCATCTTCAGCTTCGGCAAGCGCGCCATCGCCGGCGATGACGCCTACGAGAAGACAAAGGAGACTCGCACATCGCCCGCCGACGTTATCATGTGGTCCGGCAGCAAGGACAGTCAGACATCGTGAGTGGCAAACCCCCCAAACCTCCTGACTCCCTCTCCCGGGCCCGTCCGGCTCGGGGCCGCGTGACACAGCTGACCAGAGACCTGCAGGGCCGACGCCACCATCGCCAACCAGGCCACGGGCGCCATGTCCTACGCCTTCATCACCGCCCTCAAGGCCAAAGCCCAACAGAGCTACGTCGAGCTCCTCAACAGCATCCGCGATGTGCTCCAGGAGAAGTACACCCAGCTGCCCCAGCTCTCGAGCAGTCACCCAATCGGTGAGCCCCCCCCCTTCTGCTGGCCTCCCGCTCGACCCTGCTTACCAGTGGCTACGCAGACACGGATATCCTGTACGTAATGTGATTATCGCCCGCTATCACCCGTGGGAACTCTGCTCGCGACGACCTGGCGCGCAAGCGCCAACAGAGGGGGGAGACATGGAAATTGGGAAATGGGCTTCCATTTATAGAGCAAATGAATTTGAGTCCTGGAAAAATACCGTTCCCTGTTCGCACCTCGAATCGCCTTGGGGTATCTATCTAGATGTGTCTGCACCAACTGTCGTGTCCAACCCGCACCGCAGCCTTGCTCCGCGAGAAATGCTCAATTCCTCCCACGAAACGCCTCTGCCCAATGTCCAACCCTTGACCCCTAAAAAGTTGCGCTCCTCATTTGCTATGCATAAAACCGTATCCAGATGGCGCTCGCCGAGTTTGGAAACATACGCTATAGTCTGAACAAACAAACCAACCGTGGGCCCCCTTAATCTTCACTAAAGGGGTCGTCGTCTAGAAAATCAAAAGTCGACACGCCCTTTTTCTTCTTCTTCTTCGCACTCAGCGGAAGGCTGTCGCCGCAGAGGTCGATGACTTCGTCGTCGCTGCTGTCCACCTTTCTCTTGATCCCGGCCGAGGCGGGGATCCGGGTGGTCCCAGGCCTCACGTTCTGCGACCTCGCGGCCAGGGCCCCCGAAACCGCACTCGCTCTGCCAGCTGCCCCGATGCTGGTATGAGGCTTCCTTGACAAGCCCGAAGGCCGTCCGAGATTCTCCTTGTCTTGTACAAGGCTGTCGAACCTCGCCTTCCCGGAAGACGTTCCCGAACCCATCACATTGCCCAAGGCTGAACGCACTTCCCAGGTCGAGCCGGGTCGCCGCTTCTTCGCACGCTCCGCGTCCAGAATAGCCGCCATGAAGTCTGGCCTTGTACTGCTGTTGGCCGACGAAGAACTTTCCGATGGGCTCCTGGCCCTGGCTCCGGCGCCTAGACCTCTACTCAGGCCACTTGTCAGAGAGCCCAGGCGCGGCGATGGGCCGGTTGAAGAGCCGGCCACGGCACCTGGTTGTCGCGTGACAAATCCAACAGTCCCAGTTCCGCGAAGCGACGGCGACGGATGCGGCTGCGAACCTCTTGGCGAACTGGATCTCCCGATGGCAGAAGATGCAGGCTCATTGCCCCTCAGTGCCTCGGATGAAGGTGCCGTATCTGTTCTCTTCGGAGAGGTTGCTGGCTTTGACGGATAGCTCAACGCTGCCCGGCTGCCGCCGCTACTGCTTCCATGCGTTACTCTCAATGAGCGGGCCTTATCCAGAGTGGCCCGAAGTTGCTCTGCCGATGTCTCGTCGTATTTCGGTGTAGATTTCCGCTTTACGGAGCTTAATGACTTGAGGCGGTCTCTTGCCGAAATGCTACTCGTCTTGGGCAGGCCCTGGCTGCTTCCAAGGGTAGATTTCTCCTTTTTGACCGTGGCGGCTCTGAACAACTCTTGGATATCCTTATGGGCCGGGCGTCTTCTCAAGTCAGAACCCGAGGAAGAAGGCTCTGCCTTAATGATGTATAGGCCACCGTGGCTCTTAAGCTTTGGTGTAGCTTTCCCAATTTCTCGTTCGGTACCCAATGACGCTTCGCTCTTGATTGAGGGCTGTTGGAGGCTCGTTGAAGACGTCTCTAATAAATCCAGGGACGTATCTGAAGCAGACGACGAGCTTGGTCTCGACAGCCTAACAGCGCTGGCGGAGGTCGATGCCAAGGATCTGGCAGGGTTGTTTTCGGGAGCCTCTTGAGACTCTGCGTTCCCGAGCCTCCACATGATCTCACCTTTGTCCCCCAGGAAAGGCAGCAATCTGTCTGGATCGAACTGCCGTACAGTCCTCGTCGCCTCTTGTCGTCGCAAATTCTCAGCCGCACGCAGTCTTTCATTGAATAGCGAGGTCTTGGTTAGCTGCATCGTCAAGTTTGCCTCGTTTTTGCCATAGACGACTGTCTTGATGGGCTTTTCTTGCTCGCGAAGCTGAGTTTCGATATGATCCACTACATCTCTTGGAAGCACGAGATGAAGAGTCTTCCAATGAGGCTGTTCGAAATAGGGGTCGAGCTTTTGGCAATGGCTACAGCATGAGGCCATGTGCGGTATACAGTCTGGGTCTTGTTCAAGTCGACCAGAGAGGTCCTCAAAGACAGCCTCATGGTAACGCTCGAAGATGGCTTGAAATAGGCGCTGGAACGCCGGATTCTTAGGATCTGCCAGGTCTTGAAGTGTTATCAATAACGGCAGCCACAAGGGCGACATGTGAATAGGTTCGATTTCGGCGACATTTTGGACAATATGGTCTGCCAGGCTGGTTGCTTGATCGTGCATGCCAAGTCGATCGAGGTTCCTGAAGAGGCCAGCAATGACACTGTGACTTGTCGGAGGTGGCTCCGATTTATCATTGAGGAGCTCTGGCGTCGGCTCAGCAACGCACCAAGCCTTTCGAGCCGCAATTGCTTCGGGGTGCTGGTCTTTTGTCACGTTGCTAACCAGACGACGAATCTGCCACAGCGTGTGTGATGAGTTCATCAATCCTGCATACTGTTGATAGAAAGCCGTCACTTCATCAACAGGAAGTTTGTCTTTCTTCGTCACCTCGAGAAGTCTGTTGAGCAATCCTAGCATGAACTGACTGTGTCGATCAAGCTGCCGAGGTTCGCTGGCAATGGCCGTTTGCACCCTGCACTCGATTAGCACACCCACGCAACCAGAAGAATGGCGAGACACCTACATGTCGCTCCACATCTTGAAGTCCCCAAACAACTTTAGTAAGTTGACCACAACCCGACCATGGCTTGCTGATACCGGGTGGTCGAGTATGTCGAGGGTACATTGTACCAGTTCCGAGACATTTTCGGTTGAGTGGTCGATAGCGGAATGCGCAGGCAGCTTGTCAATAATACTGGCAATCTGTAAGAAATTTTTGCGCTTGAATAAGAAGCGGCGGAGTCTGGTAAACGTCAGTTACATCTGTTGATCGGAAACCCTTAACTTACCCATAGAGCACGTCAGCTGCAGAATAGCCATGAACGCTGGCATTCTCACAAACCCAAGTGTAATCGAGACTCGGCTCAATTTGAGTCTGGGCAGTGAGGCCGTTACAAAGCTGACTGTACTTGAAAACTAGTGAAGCCATGATCAAGTTGCCCATGATGCCAGAGTCGATAGCATCGATCCACTCCTGACGATTTCGGATCTGCATGCCGAGAACACGAGTCTCCGTAGGCGGATCGTCTCCTTCAGGCCACACAAACTGGCACAGAGCTTTCACGGCATCGAAGTAAGCCGCTGACCTCACGGATTGTTTGCACTGCGCTAGTAGATATCGCCAAATATGGGCAACAGGCTGTGGCTGCTCAGCGACGTTGACAACCTCTAGCTGCGTGCTGAAAGGTACAATAATCATGGCCTTGACAACGGTTAACTATAGTGCACAAACGACGTTAAAGACAGATATCAGATGAGACTAACAGGTGCAAGGTAATGGCCCAGATCGCTACTGGTGCCCGGGATGATGTTCAGATACCATTTGGGGTTTGCCTCACGGACCCTGCGTTCTTCGTCGAACTGCCGCTGCTCTTCTGGCGATTGCCAGAATAGGCCGCGGCGAGCCCTTTCCCAAGCGACGTTCCTGTCGTCGAGAATATTGCCCACATGGCAAACAACATTTTCCGCGAGCGTGGAACCTATAAAGGTGTTGAACTGAAAGATGCTCGGTGAGTGCTTAACATGTTGGTATGGCTTCCAGAAGCCGATTTGCTCATCCGAGACAGGCTCAACATGGCCGTTCATTTGCTGGACCCAACCATTGAACTGGCAGGTGGTTCCTGCGTATTTCAGAACGACAGGAAAGACTTCGAAGCCCAGTTTGGGAGATAATGTGCGAAGGCGGGCCGCGAGAGCAGCGTCAGCAGCAGACAGGCTCTGGCTCGTCACCCAATTCTGGAAGTCCAGAATGTTGCTTGGCGGGTGGAAGTGATAGACCGCAGCCTGACCGTGAAGTGAGCGATCTTCGATCCTCGATTCCCAGCGCTTCAAGCACTCGGTCAGCCGTGCACAGGCAGCCTCCAGATGTCGGTTAGGGGCCGAGAATGACGGCTCAAGACCAGCGTCGTGGTTCGTCGCGACAGCATGAGGTCCCTTGTCTGTGCCTGGTTCGGACGCGTGGTGGATGGACGTGTCGGACCCACCAACCGCGTAAATGGTCTCGATGGAGGCGTAAAGTGCTCCTCGCAGCGCGTCGTTCAGCGGCGCGGCAACTCCGTGCAAGACGCCGGGTTGCTTGCAGCGGTCTGGCTCCGGGTCGGACATGCTTTTATCTCATCTGGTGGTTGAGGTGAAGATGGAACATCGGCCTGATACTGGCAACCCCGATAACCGTGAGGCGTAATGAGAGTCGAGGTTGCGTGTTGGAATTCAGAAGAAGGAGCGCCGAGGCGACAGTGGGTTAGCAGCCAATTAGCTGGCAGGGGAAGAGCTGCCGCTGGCGTTCTTCAAATCCATCCCTCGCTAATAGTAACTTTTACCAGTGCTGAAACAGAAGCACACAGAAGCTTGCCCCGCGATCTGCCCCACTCTTGCCGGTACTGACCTCGATCGGATGTAAGTAACCTCACCAAGCGAGAGAGATCACGTCAAGTTGGGACTTCTATGTCGAGCTTAGAAGTTGAGAAGCTTACAAAGGCGAGATCCGATGGATTTACAACTGGGAGTTTTGGATAAGTTCATGTATCGAGAGTCCTGGGTGATCCGGGAGAAGGAAATAGCAGCATCCTTCCAGTACAGTACCTAGGTACCTCCCCGTTTCTGTCACAGACCCAGCTTCATCTTGAAAACGCCCAAGGCGCTGCCCGTGTTCCTCCGGTTTTACCTACTGCAAATATTTGAAGAATTTTCGTCTTTTTTATCTATACGCTTCTAAGTCTGCTGGTTGATGTCCTTTGTCCGAAGCCTCATTCAGTGCCTCTCGTTGCATGTTACTTGCCTAAAGGGCGTACGTCATGAGGACCTTTCGAGATCCAGCCCATTCGTGACATCGACGTTGATAAACAGACATTGTGATACTATTAGTATGCCTCTAGATCCCTTCTACTCAAGTTCCACTTCTTCCTGATATTCTATATAGATCCTGAGTTAGGACGTCAAACTCTCATTCCGCCTCGCGGATAGACTTACTATCCTCACCCCGGACGGAATCAGTTACCGTCCAGCACAAGACTCCAAAAGACTGGAACGCCTTGCTTCGAGCGCTCCGACAAGGACTGGGGTCCAATCTTGCTATGCATCAACGATCGATCGGGTGTTCCCGATCTCGTACCGAGTCAGACATTCCATCTCGTCCGTCAAGTGTGCCTGGAGGGATTTGCACTGGCAGGACAATGCAGTCGCATCCAGAGTCGTTCGTCCCATGTTATGACCACGATCCCATGAAGCTTTGGAGAACCGGAAAAAAGGACCGCGGCTGCGATAAGTGATCGCGTGAATCAGACACCTTGGCCGACACCATGCATCTTGAAAATATGTTCCGTTTAGATATCAAAGGTCTCTCTAACAACGCTCCTCCACAGCCAGCTGGAAAACAACCAAACGCCCCAGAAGACGGCCAGCGATACGAGGGCCAGTACGACAAGGACATGCCCTCGCATCTGGAACGCATCATCGACCTCCATGCGCATCAGTTTCTTCTGCTTGCTGTGGTAGTACCACTCCTCCTTCTCGTCTGCAGGCCTTGGGCTCTTCTGGTCTCTGACCTGCACGGAATGATACGGAGAGCTCCGGTACACGACGTTGTGCAGCCACGAAGGCATCCAACCTTCTTGGCTGTAGTTTCTCGATCTCTTGATGGTGTATCTGATGTCGACCCACGCCAGGGACAGCAGGAACGAGACGAAGATGATGGGTGTCACGATGCCCTGTGAGTACGTGTGAACTTCTATTCTGGCGATACAGCAGGACAAGCACCTAGGGGCTGGGTATCAAGAAAACATAGGTTTGAACCACCGGCTGCATCTCGATAGGTTAGAGCTCACCTTATAAAGTGTCGACTGCCGGATTGCGCCGATGTCACTGCCGCCCCGAGTGGCAGCGACTTTGGTGGCTGTCGTTGATGACGACATGGTCCCGCTGGTTGAATCACTTCGGTGTCTTCGGGGACGAGCACGGAAGAGTAATTGAGTTTTCAGTCGCAGACGGGTTCCGGAGGGTTGCCAACGGCTTCTTTGCGTGGCGGCTGAGGTGAGCTGGGTCCTTGGGAAAGGGAGGATACGATGGTGTGGTGACGGCGTGCGGAGATGGGACATAGGTTGCCTAAGTATTGTAAGTCAGTCCCGGTCGCGTCGGGGAAGGTATTCGGTACGGCCTGCCTGGACCATCGGCTGCCGCTGTTCCTGGTGCCACCACCACCTCGGTTTCGATTGTTCTTTCCAGCAGATCCACGCGCGCTGCGGACGGGGGGAGGGGGCGGGAGTGACGGAAGGGACCCCACCTGGCTCAGCTGTGACTGAGACCAGCACCAGCAGGAGACGCAATCAGAAACCGCAGTCAAGTCAATCAGGCTCAAACATACACACAAAAATCATCGATGGCCAGCCGATTCATCCGCACGCGCAACATAAGCAGTAGTTTGCCGATCAGCGCGGTGCCCAGTGCGTGGCAACCGTTATCAAGGCTGATGTGTTATCAAGCAGGTGGCAGAGCTTTGAAGCCACGCTAGCGACGCAAGCAATGTCGACGCTCGATGCGCGTCTCGGCATCACAGCCACAACTGCAACGAACGAGCATATCACCCAGCTTCAGTCTTACGTCATCCCTTCTTTATGGATTCCTTCTTTAGCTTCATTCCGGGGAATGAATAATTCCATCTCGGTCCAGGGTGCATTACACGTTTCGTGGTCTTTGTACAACTTTTCCCTCTTCACGTACGTCAAGTCTATCGAGTGTTGTGAATATCGAGCACCAAAATATCCTGAGCGCCAACGCGGGTCAAGTCGTCCATCACGAGGGCAATCTTCTTCTTCTCGACCATGGAGCTGACGGCGACCCAGCCCTCCTCGTCCAACGTTGTGATGGTCGGCGCCCGCTTGCCGGGGGTGATTGCCTTGGCATCTGCTAGGCGGGACCGCTCGATGTTGTACTGGCACAAGACGAATTTCTGAGCAGTGATGACACCACGGATACGAGCGGCGATGAGATCGACCAGTTCAGTGTTTGAAGGCGAACGGGACTTGATAAGGCAGGCTTGCGAATCGACAACGGTGTCGATGGCTTTGAGACCGGCGGCTCTCATCGTCTCTCCGGACTCTGAACTTTCTTTTAGCACTTGAACCAGTCCGAATCTGCTTGGGTTGACTTACCAACAAGGTCAACAATACCGTCGGCAACACCCAGCGCGCAAGCGGCTTCAACACTGCCGCTCAGCTCGATGACCTTGGTGCGGAGCTTCTTGGGCGAGGTGTTGCTGTTGCCGTTCGAGTCGACACCAAGCTCCAGCTTGGCAAAGTGCTCGGCGGCCAGGTTCACGAAGCTGGTGCCAATGGTCTTGCCGATCAGGTCCTCCGTCGTCGCATACGCGCCCTTCTCGGGGACCTGAGTCTGCAGCTTGCAGTGGCCGAAACCAAGCTCCATGACCATCTCGCAGCCCCCGGCCTTTTGAAGCTCGGCATCCTCGCCGTTCAACGAGACAGAGGCTCTCCGGGCCTTGTTGCTGGCAATGACGCCGGCATCGTGCTCCTGAACCTGGTCCCAGCCCGTGATTCCAAGATCGACGCGGCCCTCGCCAACGAAGGTGGGGATGTCGGCAGCGGGGAGGAAGATGAGGGCGATGGGGAGGTTCTTGACGAGGGCGATGTCGAGGCGGTTCTCGCGGCGGAACTGGATGTCGGCTCCCTCAAGCAGGTTGAGCGTGGCGGAGTTCAAGCGGCCCTCTGCGGAAAGAAGTCATCGTCAGCTCAGGGTCTTTTGACAACGCGCTCTTGGAGGGAAGAGACTCTGGAAGGGGAGTTGACTCACTCTTGGGCACGGCGAACAGGAGCCGGCCCTCTAGGCTTTGCGTCGTCGTTAGCTTGCCCGTGAAATGGCTCATCGTGGTTGAGATGGAGGGGTAAAAACCAACTGGTTCACCAAATCCATGGTAGGCAAGGTACGTTATTGTAGCGTCGCAGGAGGCGGAGAAAGTGTTCTTCGAGTTGAAACGGAACTGCAGGCCGGGTGGGAACGTGGGAACGTCGGGCGCGTATAGATGGGGCACGATGTTGCAGTGAAGCCAATGGCGACGAGATTTTCTGCGGCGAAATCGGCGAGGGGGTGTGTAATGGGTCGCACGACGCAGCTGGATGCAGAGAGTTGAGGGTAGCGAGTGTGATGTCGAGTCAATTGGTCTGCCTAGGGGGAGCGGCAGATTGTTTTAGGGCAGAGAAGTCGTCGAGTCTGCGCGACTTTCGTTTCCTACGTCGTGTCTGCGTAGAAGCTGTCCGTGGAGGGTGTCCTTTCGATGCTGCGGTGAGTCAAAAGCCGGACCAAGAAGAGAGAGGACGGGAATTTTGAGGTGTGGGTTGGCCCGATGTTAGTGTGATGTGTGTGCACTACCACCACGTTGGCCTATGTCGGAGCCGCGACTGGACCGCAAAGAGACGCTGGGATGGCGGGGCACACCGTCGAACGCGGGGCAGTCTCTGGGCGGAGTGACGGCAGATGCCGGAGGGGCATGGCGGCATCTGCATAGGTACCGAAGAGTACGGCGGCATTGCCTGATTTGTAGAGGAACCCAACAATGGGCCATCAGAGACCAGGAACGCTACCTAACTAGGCACCTACTTGTCTACAGTACCATACTGATCTTACAGATGGGAATTTGAGATTGGCCATGTTCAGTCGATGGGGGCTTGCTATCTTTTAGCATATTTTACCTACTTGACCACCAAATGAGACCCGTATTGGCTGTGTCTCGGTTGTCAAGGCACAAGAACACTGTACACCAATGGGACCATTGCGCCGGTTAATCTTCACAACAGCCAGAACGCACTTTCGGGTATTTATAGATGTCTCGTATAACGTATCCCCCAGCTTGCGCAGGGGTCTCTGCAGGAGTTTGTGATTGACAATGAGCTGGTGTCCCCAGGACATCAAGGGAAGGAACACCATCGTTTCGCTCTTGATATGATCGGTGTAAATGTGTAATTTCGGAAGTGTGTCATGAATTCCTGTGCTGGTACAAGGTAGGTATGGCATGCTGTCAGCGACTCGGTGCTTCGACGACACAGCTGGGCAGAGAACATCTATTTCTTGACTAAGTGTCTCCCCCTCGAGACAAGCATTGGATCCATCTCAATAAGTGGACTCGGTTCACGTGTTAGAGAGACATTTCCACAACATTCCAAGAAGCTACTGGAGCCAGTGCAAGGCCGAGTTGCTTATTGCAGGACTCATCTTGGACAACCCCCCTTGGGTCAACTCGTTCCTCATCTAGGTAGGTGTCCTTGATCACCATAGCTCCCTTCCATCTGAGGAAACGGACTTTGGTACGAATACGTACATCGTACTGAGTGAGGTACATTAGAAGCCACCTCCCCTCCACTCCATCCGGGGAGGGGCCGGGAATGGGCTGCGTAGAAAGTCTGGAAAATAAAGGTAATCTCTACCTACTAGTTATTGTAGTTTGGGTTGGTTTTTGTGCTGCGCCTACCCGTATCCTTGGGTAGTAAGTACCTAGTAGGACAATGTTTCTTGTCACACCCATAGCGCCCGTCTTCTCCCTTGGCTCATTTCCAGAAGCACTCCCTTCTCTCTATTCTACCTCTATTCATGGATTCATTGAAGCCGGTTGTACACATTCTTCGCCCCCCCCCAAACGAGACATGCATCCCCCCAGTGCTCTTCGCCCCTTGCGTCCACTTCAGTACCTAATAATTCCTGAGACCTGCTCTGCGCAATCATATCTGGACCCTTCTTTTTTCTTCTTCTGTCAATCTCGTATGGCATCACTCCTTTCTCCGGCTTAATTGACCATCTCTACCTCAGCAGCTTTCCCACCCCCTCGCTCACTGCACCTTCAAGCCTGACTAGCCGGTCTGGCGCTGCACTGCAACAGCAGACAAATTGTGGGTATGACGTGCACCCAGCGTTGAGTAGATGTATCTGTAGCATCCGCGACGCCCGGTTTACTTTTAAACTCGAATCTTGATCCACATCAACCTCCCACACCCCCCTGCTCCCCCCCCATACATACGCCCGCCCTGGTCCCCCTTGGCAGCTTGCGTAGTGGCCCTTCAAATGGTACAGATGTCAACCTCATCGGCGTCGCAAGGTCCTTCTCGCTCTCCTTCTCCTCATCACCACCCTACATACTCTTCCTTTGAGGACAACGACGACGACGCCGACTCGGGCATAAAATCGACTCTTATCAGGACGCCCTCGAGATCCTCTAGCAGCAGCAGCAGCACAACTCAGGTGGATGACGTCGACCGCTTGGTTGTGAACACGATCCGCAAACCGCCCCAAGCGCATCGAGAAGCGCACGCGAAACTCTCGGGTTCCCGCAACCTTATCGGTCACCCAAGAGACGAGGTCAACCACGCCGACACCGACGACGAGTACGATCACGTAGAGAACAACGCCCTCGTGTTGGAGGAGGATCCGGCCACGGGGATGTCGAGTTGGGCGGGCCAGCCCTCCATCAGGGGGAGCTCGGAGGCCATGCGAATGGTTCTCTTGACATTCAACACCCTTGGAATCACGTATGTGCAATACCCTTGCGCACGGTCGCCTCTATAATACTGACAGTTTGTGGACGACAGCTTCACATGGGGAATCGAGATGACATGTACGTGGCCGGCTTCACCAGCCCCCTTCCCTATACTGACACGCCCCGACGACTAGACTGTACACCGTACCTCCTCAACCTCGGACTCACGAAAAGCAACACTTCGCTGGTTTGGATCGCGGGGCCGCTGTCTGGACTGTTGGTACAGCCCATCGTTGGCGCGATCGCCGACGAGTCCAAGTCGAAATGGGGCAGGCGGCGACCATTCATTGTCATGGGTTCCATCATCGTCGCATTCAGCCTGCTGACGCTGGGGTTTACCAAGGAGATTGTAGAAATTTTCATATCCGAGAAGGAGACCGCCAGGGTCGTTACCATCATCCTCGCGGTCCTGGCGATATACTTTGTAGATTTCGCAATCAATGCTGGTGAGTTTGAGTCGACTTTACGTTGTTGAGCCAGTGTGGATTTCGCGGCTGACTCGCTCCAGTCATGTCATGCGCAAGGAGCTTGATCGTCGACACGCTACCGATTGAGAAGCAGCAGACCGGCGCCGCCTGGTGTAAGTGAATTCCGGGCCCGTCTAAGGGTTGCATCGCTGATCCCCACAAAGCTAGCAGGATGTCCGCCATTGGACACATGTTGGGCTATGGAGCCGGCGCCATCGACCTGGTCGGCATCTTTGGCACGACCCTGGGCGACTCACAGTTCAAGCAGCTCACCCTGATCGCGACGTTTCTGATGGTCTTCTCGTCGGGCGTTACCTGCTGGGCCGTTAACGAGCGGGTCCTGGTCTCGACGAGGCGCGATCCCCGCAAGGCCACCGGGCGGTTCAAGGTGGTCCGCCAGATCTGGTCGACGCTGCTTCATCTCCCTCCTCGGATCCAAGCCATCTGCTGGGCCCAGTTCTGGTCCTGGATCGGCTGGTTCCCATTCTTGTTCTACAGCACCACGTGGGTTGGCGAGACCTACTTCCGATATGACGCTCCCGCGGAGGGCAAAGAATCCAAAGACGCCCTCGGAGACATTGGTCGCATCGGCAGTTTGGCGCTGGTCATCTACTCGGTCATCACCTTCCTCGGCGCCTGGCTCCTCCCGCTGCTTGTGAAATCCCCGGACGACGACAATTTCACTGCGCGTCCGCCCCAGGCCATTGCCCCGATCCTAGATAAGTTGAACAAGAACAAGCCGGACCTCATGACGGCCTGGATCTGTGGCCACCTCATGTTCGCTGCCGCCATGTTCCTGGCCCCCTTTGCCCAGAGCTTCCGCTTCGCGACTTTCCTCGTCGCCTTCTGCGGCCTGTCCTGGACCATCGCCATGTGGGCCCCGACAACCTTCATGGGCATAGAGGTCAACAAGCTCAGCGGGGCCCGCGAGGGCCACGCGGCGTCGTACCGCCGCCTCTCCACCGACTCCAACATCGAGCTCCCCACGATGGACCAAGACCAGCCGCTGCAACTCGAGCACGGGCCGGGCGAGGGAGGGCAGCAAGCAACGTCGTCCACGGGCGAGCTGTCGGGCATCTACTTTGGCATCCTCAACATCTACACCACGCTGCCGCAGTTCATCGGCACCTTCATCAGCACCATCGTCTTCACGATTCTGGAGCCTGGCAAGAGCCCGGAGCTCTCGGATGCGCCGGAGCACGAGCAGCACGGTACCGACGGCCCCAATGCCATCGCCGTGTGCCTTTTCATCGGCGCCATATGCGCCGTAGTGGCGGCGTATGCGACACGGAAGCTAAAGTACCTGTAACCCGGTTCGGGAGCTGTGTGTGAATAGAGCACCGTTATAAGAGTAGCATGGGCATTGAGCACGGCGTTCCGGAAGAGGACGGGAGTTCAAACCTCAATATTTTGTGCTCGTCAGGGAGAGAAATGGTTTGACGCGGCTTGTCAAGGGGTTAGGAGTTTTGTAGGGAACCAATGCTACGAGGCTGGCTGTGTATGTCCGCAGCCGGCTTCTGCTGTATGCAGCAGCCATTTCTGGATACATGGCCATTTTTGCTTCTTCTTTTTACTTCAGATGGAACCCTGCGAGAAGCATGCGTGTGTAAAGCAACGTCTTTTGTGTGAATATTTGTACGTGGAGCTGCTCACAACGAAGCATGCTGCCGAGTCCTTATGTACAAGCCCGCTTTATTGCAGCCAAGCCGCCGCTGCAGTAATACTGGTGGTGGTGATAGTAGTAGTAGCCCATGTGCCAAAGCTTGCTTAAGGGTATCTCGAATATCTCATCGCGCGGGTGCGCGGTTCCCCCCCCCTCCACGCGCTACCGACTGCAACCCCCACAGCACATCGCAAGTTAGCGCCGCGTCGCAATCGAGAGGTGGTGCTGATTAAGTTAGGCGTGTCGTCTCTCTCTCTCTCTCTCGTGTATGTATGGTATTCTCCGCATGCCCATCACCTAGACGCTCATTTGTCCTTCTCGTTCTCGTTCCCAGACACCTTCTCCCATTCGTCCTCGGTGCTGACACTCGACTGCGTACCCCCGTTCGTCGCGTCCTCGGGCCCGGATTCGGCGGCTGCTGCTGCGGCTGCGGCGGCCGCGGCGGTCCGACGCTTCAGGTCGACGGCCCGCTGCTGCTCTGGCGTCTCGACCTGACTGCTCCCTACGGCCGCACCCTTCTTTCCCACGCCTACGCGGCCGCCGGCGACACCCTCGACCTCGGTGTCGCTATCATCAGTCGTCTGGGTGTTGCCGCCGCCGCCGCCGCCGACCCCGGAGGAAGAGGCCTCGGCCTTCCTGGCCTCCTGCTCGGCGTGGACAGCGAGCTCGTTAACGAACCAGTTTATGGCGAACCACAGGGAACCGCTGAGGAAGGAGAGGATAAGGAAGTGGATGCTCCAGGTCGCTAAGAGTAGGATGGCGAGGAGGACCTGGAGGGAGGCGAAGGCTCCATTTGCGGCGCGAACGAGGGTCGGGGTCGGGCCAGGGACAAAAATTGAATCCCAGAGGTTGGTGATGAAGGACGCCATGATGGTTTTTTGTTCTGTGGAAGGGGGCGTCGGACGGGATATGGCTGCTCGCAAGGAGGAGGCGTCAGTCGTTTTGCGGTTCGTTCGTTCGTTCGTTCGTTCGTACGTTCGATCTGATTTCGGAGATAGAGATGCGAAGCGCACCCACTGTGGATGCGGATGATTTGTGATGGGTGGGTTCTGATGCCGGAGGTGAAGCGTCGGAGGGGCGAACGAGCTCCTTTTGGTCGCAGATGCGTGAGATCGAACTGCCTATGAGCACGACGAAGCAGTGAGTAACTGTGACCGTGTACGTTTAACGTTCTCGTGGCGAGGATAAATAGTGTCGTTCGTTGTACGTATGCAGTCAGACAGCGGTATCCAGGCGGTAATAGCGCATAATAAATAGTGTCATGTGTTAAGAGTCAAATGGCCGGGGGCCGGTGCTGCTGCTGGAGTTTGGTATTGGTGGGCAGGAGAGGGGTTCGACTGCGTTAGGTACCTGAGGTGGTACAGGACTGTGGACAATGACAACACGCCGGGTCGGGGCGGGGGAGGGGACGCGAGGGGAAGAGGGATGGATGGGTTGAGGTAAATGTACCTTTTTTGCCAAACCACACAAGATCGGTGACACGTTATGCTCTGGTTCCAAGAGGGTGCAACGTGGTCACTCGGCTGCCGATTATTTTGATTTACATTGGCAGATCAGAACAGGTGGTATGTCAATAGCCAAAAGGCGACGGTGGCCTCGCGATGTTTTAGACTGAGGTGACGTGGAAGACAGAGATGTATGTCCGTCTACCTCCATGAGCATGTAGGTTTTGGGGAGGATGTGCATCAAATACCAAGCGCTCCACTCCCCGGTGTCATAAGGGAAGCCTGTTAGGCAGGCGGCTTCGTCTTTCGTTTGCAGCGGTGAGGTCACGTAACCACCCAGAAAAAATCACAGAACCCACATGCCGAAGTATAACAAACGGAACTCTAAGAAACGGCGCCATGCACAACACGCGGTCTTCTTTGGAACCACTATTGGTATGTACGGGGGGCGAGGGAGAGAGCGGCGGCAGCAGCAGCAGCCGGAATGACCACTCCGTAGGCTGGGGGGTGGGAACAGCACCGTCGCTGCCCTTTTCGTGGGGTCGTGACCTGCTCTCACTGCATGCTTTAGATGAACCAAGTCGATGCGAAGGCCCCGCTGACCACGGGGTCGCTATCAGCCGGCTCGGGGTACTTTGGGTGTGTGTATGTGTGTGTTTTACTACTGTTTCCTTGAGGCTCCCGATTTCAAAGATGCCAGGCGTTGACGACTTGCTCGGTTCGTTTGGCCGGCTTGGTCGGTCTCGATCTCGGGCAGAAACAGGGAACCCAGAAAAGGCGCTCCTAGGACCTGGTTAATGCGAAAACTGGGCTACAAGATAGAAATACTGGTCTGGCGCATAACTCTGACCAGAGAGGACCTCGAGGCTTTTTCTTTCCGCTGGGTGTCAACTGAAGACGGGCGGCATGCGGACCATGCATAAAAGCTTAAATCTCCATCGTCGAGCAAACGAGGGAACCGCTCAGACGTCATGGCGGACCTGAGGCAAAGCAACGGTAAGTAAGCGAGTTGCAGCTGAGTCGAGCCCCCTCCCCCCGGCTGAGTCTTAGTCACGGGCTGTGATGCGTGGATCAAGACTGATTCAAGTGTCTGAAAAGCCACAATTGTCAAGACAAGGCTGATTGAGTCTCGGAGAAGAGCCGAAACCGACATCAGAAGCTCCCGAACCTGCAAGTCGTGTTTCGTCGATATAACTAGAATTACTATGTACACTATGTCCCCCCCCCCCCCCCCCCCCCTCCCCAACTGCCGACGGAAAGACTGCATGCACTCTCGACTTAATCGGGCTTACATGGCTATCCTGTCTGTATGAATTGAAGTAAGGCGAGAAGAGCTCGGTCGCCTCTGCTGCCGCCGCCAGAAGCAGAAAACCACAGGACGAATCAATATTTCCGAGGTACCGGACTCCAACTCCCACTTCGAGGGGCGCGGGACTTGTACATTTATGGATCCCAGTGAACACGTCCCTGCCGCCATACGAATACTATCTCTGTCTTGAGTTTGTGCCTCGCAGTGGAATAGCGACGAAGCACCTCCGGAGAGTAAACATTTGTTCAATAGATACAGGGTGGTATACGGATGTTCTTCTTCAACAATAACAACGACGACAGAAAAGCCCGCTCCTTCCCTCGTCTCTTCGTTCCTTCCGTTTCGTACCCCCGCAAATACATCCCTCCCTCCGAACCGGAGAAGTCGGACTTTTCCACCCCTCAACCAACCTCGAAAAGCTGAGGTAAGCCAAACGACCAGGCACCTTAGCCTTACGTGCCCTTGATATCCGGGGAACGTGTGACAGGGCCATCCACCCACCTTAGCGCGCGCGGAGTGCTTCGTAGGCTGGAAAGCTGCACTAAACCACCACAGACCCGACACAGACAACGCACCGATCGACGACTGACTGGCTGACTGACTGACGACAGACAACCACCACACCCACTACCGTCGCTTCCTCCTTCCTCCTCACCGAAGAGCCGCAACGGGTTTTCGTGACGCCCATGTTCGCCTGTTCCGACATGACATGATTGGCCTCGCTCGACCAACACCTTCGCTAGCCAGTTTCTAATTTCCTCGACGAAGCTCCTCGCACCAGCCTTCTCCTAATCGCCGTTTCTTCAATCGCCTTCTCGTTGCGCCCTTTGACCCTATCTGTGGCTTTCAACTGACGATCGCGTTTTCCCTTCGAATCCTCCTGCGATCCTGCCGACCGGCTTCTTTCCACGACGCCCCCTCCGCGATTTCTACCTGGCAACGAAACCCACCCCACTGCCATAAGAAAAGACAAATCAATCTACATCACACCACATCCACCTGTTATTTTCTCGGCCAGCCGACCAACCGGCTGATTGACGCTGCCGTCGCAGTCCAAAGCATGCGCCAAGGGTCCTCGTGATCATGGCCCCAGCCCTGCAAACCACAGACGCCATGACCCATCAAGCCGCTGAGCCGCATCCAAACGAGGTTGTGTCTTCATACCACAATGGCGCACAAACTCAGTCTACGCCTGCCGGCAATGATGCCAACCCCGGTACCGGACCAGACCCTTCGACCGTCATGCGCAAGCTCATGAAGGGGAAGGATAAGGAATGGGATGCAGTTGTGTCGGCTTGTGTGGCCAAGAAGAAACTCACCCTCCTTGAGCTGCCAGTGGACATCTTGAGGTTGATCATTAAGGAGGCAAGTCCGCTGTTAACACATGTGTGAATGGCTGTACCTGTCTTTGCTAACCTTTGTGTTTCCCAGATCACCCACACGAATGACCTCACCTCGCTCGCCTTAACCAACTCAAACCTCCACAACCTCGCGGTTCCTCACATCTACTCCCGATTTGACATTGTCTGGCCTGATGCCAACCAGATGACAACATCCGACTCCAAGAGCGTTGATGCCCTCACCTATGGCCTCTCCACTATCTGCCTCGGCAGCTCCTTCGCCCGCCGTACCCGCAAGATGCTCTACCCCGGCTATAAACCTAGCTACAGCCCCTCCGTACGACAACAGAAGAATGATTATGCCAAGTACACGAGAAAGTTTTCGCTGGGAAATGGCCCGCACGACTGGGTTGCGGAATACATGATAACCAAGGAGAGCGGCAAGATGCTGGGCACCCTGGTGGCGCTGGCTATCGAAAAGATGGTCAACCTGGAGACTTTCGTTTGGGATATGCCGACCGGTGTTCTGTCCGACATCTTCATGGCGTTGGCTTCCATTCCAGAGCAGTGCCCGGATGGCGAGTCGAAGCTCGAAAAGGTCTGGGTGAGATGGCACGACAACTCCCAGAGCTCGAGCTCGTCCGCGTCTTCGACTCCGCCTCCATCAAATCCGCCTCATGCGGCAGTGCCTGCCGGCAGCAATCTCACCGCGATTGGTATTCTGATTCCATCGGACGCTGTCCACCCGGCACCGCGGGCTGCGATACCGTATGCGGAAACCCGAGTCGAGTTCCCTACCTTTAGTGTCCTGCCTCCCGTCAAGAGTCTGACCGTTCTGGATATTGACGAGCTTGCTTACCTAGATGAGATGGCGGTAGTTATTGAAAGATCCAAGGACCGTCTGCAGGAGTTGCGCGTGGGCATATCCCAGAAGGCCATTTATCAGGACTTCGTTCAGACTTGGGACGGGCCCGACTTGCGGCAGATCGACCGGGATGCTAGATGGCCAGGCGAGAGCACCATTGGCGAGAGAAGGCTGGGCGGGGTCTTGGGCGTTTTGGTCGGCCGAATCTATGATATTCGTCGGAAAACAACTTCGAAACCCCGGGAGAAGGTCCCGTTGCTGTCCTCCGATGGCACGCCGCAGATAGACACAGCTCCCGACTCGGATTCCGTCGAGACCTCAACGACACTGGGTGACTCCGAGGTTGCTGGAGCAAACGACCTGCAAGCGGACGGTGTGGTCGAGTCAGACCAGGGCATAGATCTTCCGGCGGCAACAGGCGTTGTTTCAAGCACTCACGAGGAGAGCAATGGCCAGCCGATGGAGGACGTGCAGTCCGAGAAAGGACCTGCCGCTGGCGGCAACAATGCCAACGACGCGCCTCCCACTTTATCGCGAAAGAGGCTGGACGGCAAGCTCAGGCTGCGCACGCTCGAGCTGGAGAGGGTTCCTCTATCAATTCAGGTCTGCTGTCAGGCGATCGACTGGACAGTCTTGACAACACTGACTATACTTGAATGCGCCCAGCATGAGCATCTCTGGAAGGCCCTGCGCCGACAGTTCACGCCCACTCCGGTAGGGAGATTCGGATCTCATGGCCCTCATAAACAGGCCATGGAGTATCATCTCAGCCTCAAGAGCATTCATACCGACATGACTTCGACGACTCTTATCAGCTTTCTCAGGGACACTCTGGCACCAAACAGCCTGGAAGTCCTCTTTTTGCAGGATCGCAGACGCACCACTGGTCCACCGGCTGTGACTATTGAGCAGATCTTCAAGGGAGTCATCAAGAGGCATCGGTCGAGCTTGCAGAAGGTCCTCCTCGACAGCTCAGACCGGAAGCGCAGCAGCAGCAATGCACCGATGGATGCTTCCCGTTGGCGCAACTGGGTGCTACCGACAGACATGCTGCTTTACATGACGAGCGGACGCATGGCGAGCATCAGGGAGCTCGCCATCTCGCTGTATTACAAAGACTGGGTGAGCAATTCCAGCTACCTCGGAGTCACGTTTTGACGTCCAGCGCTGACCGATATATAGCACACGTTCCTCCAGAGGCTGCCGAGTGTTCCACAGTTACGATCACTCAACCTGCAGCACATCGCTGACCATGTACTCGGCAACTTCGATTCGAGAGAGTTGGCTCTGCAGCTGGTGGATATCATCACTCTGCGCCCAGAGATCCAGCTCTGCTATGTGGGTATTTCGACCAAGTGTTTCGAGATTCTGGAGAGCAAACCTGCGGAGGAGAGCGGCACTTCAGCCACAAGCGTCACGGCTGATCACGGCGCCACTGGACAAGATTCGGGAGTCGACGGTGAAGACGACGACGACGACGAGGAAGAGGACGGTACAGACGACGAGACGGCGAGCCAGGTGGACGAGGAGACCTCCGAAGAGGAGGGCGAGGACGACAATACCCCGGCAAGTGCGGTAGAAGTGGAGGACTCGCAGTCGGAGGCGTCCGCCATGGCACAGGACTCGGACGACGACGACTCTGTGCGTGACGTTGACGTTGTTCACTCGCGGCCGCGCCTCCGGCTTCGCGAGATTCTCTTTTACGACGACAAGGTGGCAATCTTCAAGGCTCGACATGGGAGATTATAAGGCTGTAGTATGGGCGGGACAAGGAGAATGAATGATTTCGACGACAAGCAGATTAGCTGGTTGGTTAAGTAACGAACAAAAAAGAAACAAGCGTGGCATACAGAAGCGTGGCATTGGTATGCAGTCGTTAGTTACACTGGATGGGGCTGAATACTGCGAACGACGTCTTTTCTGCTTCAGGAGCAGGATTTTTAAGATTTGGGAACGTTTCTATTCATATTCAGGGAACTAGCTTGTCTCTCTCTCTCTCTTCTTCATTTTCCTTTCTTTAATTGATATCCCCCTCCTTGCTGTCAAAACCACGAGGAGTGTCGTTTGTTCGCCCGATCACTTTGCTGCCCCCCGTGCCCCTCTCCCCCTTCCTGTAAGCCAGTCCAATATCCGGTATACGGAACTCAACCTTGCCGTTTATTTTCTCCTCTGGCGAAACGGCCAATTCGGCTCCGGGATATCCCAGCCTGGCGGACACACCTCTGCAGATGTGATGAGGGGGAGTGGGGGGTGGGGTGGGAGGACGATCTTGCTTCCTACTTAGACGACGCCCGCACGCTGCGGTCTCAATTCCAAATTCCAATTCAACTGCAAGATGGACACCAAACAGAACCCAGTGGTTGGGAAAGGGGCAGAAGAGGAGGAGGAGCCTAAACAGGTACGTAAGGGCTAGGCCTGAAGAGTCAGGGTTCCGGTAACGCAGCACCCGGTACGTGTGCCTCCTCCCTATCTCGTCGTCTTGGGCTTTCCCTACCCCTCCGCTGATCTATCTGTCGGTCTGTCCACTTGTCCTCGGGAACCGTAGAAGGAAGACTGTGATATATTCTCAAGGGATTGGAGTGATCATCGGGGAGGTGAAGGAAGGGGGGAGGGGGGCTGAGATACTGCTTCTAAGCAGCCCCCCCCCCTTTCGCTTTTTTTTCTCAACCGCGCGGGTGTAAGATAGAGAGATCAGGTACGTATAATGTACACGGTGCATGGCGTTGATCATATACAGCATGCGGTCAAGACGGGAAAAGAGGAAGCCTGGAAGACACAGCCCTACAGTTTAAAGCGCGCCGCTGACGGTGCTGAAGACGGCCGCGGCGTCCCTTCCCTCTCGTCCTTCCCCCCCGGTCCGTCTCCGTCCCCGTCCATCGGTCCTCGCACTCCACGCAGGTGATCTCGAGGAGGAGTTGCGAGGGTCTGGAAAGGGTAGGTGCTCTGAGCGGACCTACTCGGGAGAGGGAGAGGGGTGGGGGATGTGGGTGGCGTGCAATTCCGACATAAAACCTGGCATGGCTTCCACCTACATACCGGTACCGTTCGCCTCTTGTCCAAATCCCCCCCCCCTCCCTCCTTGCGCCTTGTGTGCCTCTTCCACCTGCAGGGCTTGTTGGGATACAGGCTGTTCGGCTGGGGTCCTGCATTGCTTTTGTCAGCCATGGTGGGAGACGCAGCGCGGTGATGCTGTCCCCGGCGGCTGTTCAGCAAGTCGGGAGGCGCCAAATCCCCGTGGGAAGAGAGGCAGAAAGGGGGACGGGGAGGGGTGGTTACTAACGGGGGATAGCTCAGATACCCTTGTGGCATCATGGACTCATCTCCTGATTTGGCGAAGTATGTCTATCACATTATGTCTATCACAGTATGCCTATCACAGAATCCGGCCACCCTCCCCCTCGGCTCGCGAACTTGTACTCCGTTTCCGATATTTGCCACGCACAGCATACTCTCTCGCGCAAGGACTTCCCAGGCGAGAAGGCAGAGCATTCCAATCATGACCTTGTAAGGCCAGAGAGAGGGGGGGGGAGGGTGTACAAAGGCCATCGCACACTCAAATGCTCCCATTTGCGATAGAGGCGGTTCCTTCAGCCTTCTGCTGTGACAAAGGGAAGCAAGGCAGCAGGGATGGGCAGGAGGGACTAACAGGTTTTTTTTTTTTTTCCGTCTCTTTTGCCTGGCCCAAGTCGTCGGGGAGGAGTCAGTCAGGCGGGAGGATTTCGACCCTTGTCTTCGTCGAAGAAAAGGGGGGGAGAGAGAGAGACCAAGGCCAAGTCCATGCGTGATAGGACAGGACCGGAGGCGGCTTGGAAGGCGTGGCATCGGGAGCGGCGGGTGAGGGATCATTGCTTACCTTCACCTTCCCATTGCATAAGTTTCGGGTGGATAAGAAGAGACGGAACAGCATCCAGCTGCCGGACGAGAGAAGGCCGCGTCGAGAAACCCCACGAGCGGAGTAGCAGTCACAACGTCGATATGGAAGACGGCGATCGGAGGAGGATACCCCTTCTCTGGGCCTAGATGGTGATGTACCGGTAGTATTGTAGACACTGGAGTCGATGGACCAGACCCGTACTGGATGGAAGGAAGAGATGCACAACAAAGGGGGCTGCGCGGGCATCGGTAGAGGTGTCCTCATGGTAATCCTAGAGCAAGAGATACGGGAACTCCGCCGTGAAGTTCGAACTGCAATGTACAAGGCCATCGAGAGGAACGAGAAAAGCAGTTGGCAAGGCCTCTGGCACCAAGTCTCAGAACTCATTGACCCCGCGCTGTCGATACGACGAAGACGGTGCCACTGTGGCCCAGTGGCATTGAGGAGCCGGTTCGTCGTGAACCCTCACGGTGTGGTATACCGGTAAACCAAGAGCGGCCAGGCCTGGTGACGAGCACTCGTGGTAAAAGAACACCGCTATTCCTATGCCAAAGCGAAGACCCTAGGTTCCCTTTCCCTATGACGAGAACCTGCCTAGACAGCTCTGTTCTGAACACAGCCACCTCCCCGCCCCTCTTATCCGTGCTGAACAAGACGGATAATAGACCGTTTCGGACGAACCCAGGGCCGTCAACCAGGAACTGTCATGGGCGGGGGGAATAATGTGGTTGTAATCCGACGCGTCGGCCGACTACCGGCGAGGCGGGGGAACCAAATACCAGAGGCAGGGACGTGGGGCCACAGCGTGACATTGAGGTCATGCCCGTCCGAAATAGAAACGACTCAATTCGGGAGCCTAAAATCTGTGATTGCGTCCCCCTCAACGTCCAGACGACGCCCGATGGTTGGTCTACGAGGGCCGTAGGATCGGCCTCCCTGCTAGCCCACGCACGCCTGCTAACGCTGGTTGCTCCAGCCACAGCTTGAAGGATCGCCCGCAGGCCGCTTAAGCCACGTCCCCGAGCCCACAGAGAGAGACAGAGGGGGATGAACGGTGTAGAGGTTGGCCGCCAGGTTGAACTTGGATGGATGAGGTGAGGACGCGAGGCTGACCTGTGTTTATGGTGACCCCCGCCAACGGTATCCGTCCAAGGCGCTCACTTTCATGGCCCATCCTTTGGTCCGTCTGGTTCCTCGACTAGGATCTGCTCAAACGTCTGCTTACACTAGATGACGAGAAAACATCGCTGTGTGCCGGACCGTCAATTTGAAAGCGTCAAGAGGTTGGATCGTTTCCGCTAGCCCTCGAAAGGTCGCTTCTTTGGAGTCGAGACATGCCAGTCGTCAACCGTTGTCGGCCACATTGTCTGGATCGATTGGACTTACAAGCCGTGCGCCGCCGCCCCCCTTAGCAATTCCCCGGACAGCCATCTGTAAGTCACTGAACGGTTCCAGAAGCCAACAATGGAAGGCCCGGCCGCGAAATCGAGCACCGAGTACATCTGGCGAGAAGGTGCCGGCCGGCCTGTATGTGAAACTGATGGTGCACATGGGTTACCTTTGGCTGTCTCGACGCAATGTGTACGAGCGCAAGACTCCCTACTCGGACAGTCTTTTGAAATGCTCAAGCCTGCATCTTGACTGAAACAGAGAAGGAGCAGTTAATCTCAACGAGCCACTGGCGTCTTGTGCTACATGGCAGAAGCCAAACGCCCTTATCTGTTCTACGGTTGCTGGAGCGTGCGGGTAAACAACGAGTTAGATGCTGAAATATAAGCTAGGAAAGAAAAAAAAAAGGTGTCCTCCAGGCGATTGCGCCGTGGGTGTGGATGGAGAAGGACCGCTGCGAGGTCGACAGCCTGCATGCGCCATTTCAACGGTCGTCGATACCTTCTTGGTCAATCTCATCTCTCCACGTACCACGAGTCGGGGGATCTCTGGCAGTTCTTGGTCGTGGCCGTCTAGAGGCGCTTGAGGCAAAACGGTAAATCCTCCCGATGAGCCAAATCTCCATGCTCCTCGGATCTGAATAATGGCGGCTGCGGGATGGATCGCACCGTTGCATCTCTCGGTCGTGGGCACCCGGTGTTTGGTTTACAATAATACTTGTTGCGGTTTGTGCGGGGTTGACTTGAAAGCGCGATTGGTAAGCTCGCGTTGTTCGACAGGTCCCAAAGAGGGAACGCGAAATCATGCGAAGCCAGTTGGTAAGCATTCGGCTGACAGTATCCATAATCGAGGGGGTGAGGAGCCAAAGGTCGACGGCTGGTGAGATTCTACCTGTTCGTGGGCGGCGCAGCTGCAGCATCCAGCACCGTAGGGCAACCGGATGTAACATGTCTGGCCACGTCGAGCGTGCAGGTGACGACCCTAGCTCGAGCTCAAGACATTAATTTGGGTTGACTGCTTCAGCTCGCCCGTTTGCCTCTGTAAGACGGCACCCTTCCGGTGTAGAGATGGACGGGCGGCCACAGCACCGCTTTGGAACCTGCCGCTGCATGTCAGACTTTGGGGGCATTCAAAGACGCAGTCGGCGGAGCGGTCGGTCCCTCGTAGGGCTGGGAGGAATATCAGGGGTGGCAGCGGAAGGATTCTGAGCGTCTTGACTGGTGGAAGGCGGGCGTTACAAACAGGTGGCTTTGCCTACCTACACAGGTGTAAGTGTAGGAGGGGCTGAGTCTAGGGCGTACAGCCATGAATCAAAAGTGCGCCTGGTTCAGCCACGGCGTAGCGCGCGCGCGCGAGTAAGAAGGAGAGAGAGATGGAGAGATGGAGAGAGTGAGAGAGAGAGAGAGGCATCAAGTAGACGACGGCCTGCACAACCGACATGCCGTCTTGTGCGCTCATGCCCGTGCTCGTGACCGTTGATAGGCGGTGGAAATTATCCAGGACGAGAGGCAAAACAATGGCTGGCCGTAAAAGCACCATACAAGCAACCTGGAATCTGCAATATGTGCGCGCACGTGTGTAGAGATGACGTCGTGGAATCGAAAGTCTGCGCCGTTCTCTCGCACATCCCACTGGCGAATCGGCAAGGACAACGGGCCGTATTTTGGTGTGTGTGTGTGTGTGTGTGTGTGTGTGTGTGTGTGCATGCCACACACACACAACGAACGGACAGAGAGAGGCAGCTCAACCCTCTCCCATATGCACTCTGCTTGTTATCCGGTGTGACCCAGACGCATCAGCCGAGCCAGCCCTACATTATTCCTCGCCCTACGGGGCCAGTGAATGCGCCTCGGCCCTCGCTCGGTGTATGCAAGATGGCGTGGCGGATTTTTGACCGTCCGTGAAGATGTGACGGTTCAAACTGCGGTTGATCCCAATGCGGTGGGATCTGATAGTATGATGACCGTCCCCCCCCCCCCCCCCCCCCAAGTGTCATTTCTAAACCGCCGATATATTCAGCGACGAACGCCCGCAAGAGTGATTAGCATGCCGGTGCGTTACCTGCGAAAGTGGTCCGATACCGGCCGAGGGTCACGATATGCTGCCGATAGGCCGCTTAGGGGGGGCGTTGCATAGCTTTCCCATCAAGCCCTGGAAACCCTTTGAAACAGAGAAAAAGTTAGAATCTGCTTGAGTTGCTGTCAAGAGTCGGCGGCACTGGCAACGGCAATGGTGAAAACAACTGGGAGGACTGATTTGGTATGCACCGCTCTCTGGAAACGCAACCCGCCGAGACTGGACCGTACAGCGTGGATGCCTAGCGTCGTGCGTCGGCTGCCAAGTACCGTCAATCGTAGCTCGGTAAGCGTCCGATTCATTGCGGGTAAGGCAAGTCAAATCGTGAAATTGAAAACATCGCATTCGCTTGTCACATAAAATTGAAGACATCGCATTCGCTTGTCGCAGTATCCATAGGAGGGGCCGCGACTGTCAGCGTTGGATTGAAGGCCCCGTGGGGACACGTACGTCGCTGGGGAAAGCAGTCTCGATGCAACCTCGTTTAATGCCGTTGCGCTAGAGTTCGAGACTTGTCGTCCTCATTCCAACCCGCTTTCATTGCTGCGATTACGGTCGCCGGTCCTTGGTGCTCGCTCGTCGTCGTCCCATGACCTGCGGCAGCTGTGTCGCTGTGCGTTCTAGTAAACTGACCAATATCCCTCGTCAGCCGTTTTCCCAATGCTCTCATCCTCGAAGAAGGGGGTGGAGAAGGGAAATGACGATGTCATCAGGCCCTCTGTATACATACTATGTAGTACCGTATGACAGCTGGCTAACCTCTGCTGCTGCATCGCATTGTGGCTATTGTCGATCCGAACCTGCGTGGAAACGGAGAATAGTCCGAGGTGCTGCGGCCTTTCCCTCTCTGGGAAGTTCGTATACCTAGCCAAACGATTGGCGAACACTGAGCCTTTGATCTCTCCCGCTTCATGTACTCTCATCCCACCGAATCTTACAACCAATGACACCTTGGACTCGGGCAGCTCAACGAGAACGTACCCATTGGTTCCATTACACATCCGCTGCTCTCACAGTCGAATGTTGCTGAGAGATGACAAAGCGACCGGACAACTTGATGGCCGGAATATGTGGCCTAGAGATGTTACGCTGTCACCATATCGGTCGGATATTGTCCAGTTCCAGCTAGGAAACCGACCGGACTGGTTGATGTGGTTTGGGCCAGAACAGCGACACGTTAGTGCGAGCCAGGTCTAAGCCTTGTGGACCTTTGGTACCGGGTTGACAGGGAGGGGACCCTCCGGGCTACCTACAGTGACCACTCAAAAGTATCCGAGCTTATGAGATTCAACCCTAAGTCAACTAAACTTATAGTATTCAGGGCAATACACCCCTCAGTTTTAGGTAATATAAGTATCATTGAATGTTACTTTTTTGTTTTATAAATTCAATTTGTATACTATACTGACATTTCTTTCTCTTTTTACTTGTATGCGTAGAGATATGGAGAGCTTAGTAGAAGTAAAGATACTTTAGCTATCTCAGTCCCCTGTAAGCCCCCTAGTAAGCCCCTATAACCTAGTTCTACAAAAATTGGTGCGTTCGGACACTTTTGAGCCCCCACTGTACCTATATTGTACGTTGGGTGGTGAGCTGCACTGCACTGCACACACACGCCTTCAGTCGCTCGTGGTGGTTGGGTCCAGGGTCCCGTCCAAAGTTCCAAAGTGTCAGTCGGGACATGCCCGCTCGGATTGTGGCCCCCTGGTCGTGACCCGACGAGGTGTCTTGGCCAGGTCCGCGAGCCCGGGCCTCACTGGGGGTCTGCGCCTCGTCCCAAGGTTGATTTAGAGCACTACTGTGTAATGATTCTGATAGCCCCGAGGGTGGCGATGGCGGTGTTGCGTCTCAAGGCACAGTGAGAAGCACTTGGGCCGAGTTGCTTTGCACTAGTCGGTCCGTCTAATTTACAACACATTCGTCGACGCCAGCCCACAGCCTGAGGTGCCGCCAGAGCTCAGATGTAATTCGGCCACGACAGAAGCGGTACTGCAAAACGGAGGCGGCGGCGCGGATTCGAGAAAGGCCACCGACGAGACTTGAAACAGCGAGAAGCAGTGTGGGGCTTCTCGACGAATGCGACGGCACCAACCACGAGACCAGAGAGGAGGGTATTGAGTGTGGGTGGGTGTGGGTGTGGAAAATGGGATACACGCGAGGGGTGTTTGAACAAGACAGCGCATGGCAGCTACAATGGGCGCGGTAGGACTGGACTGGGTGTTCCCAAGATTAGCTGTGAATCAGAGTCGTCCAAAGAAGAGCGGCAGGTCGTGGCATGCAGGGCGTAGTTGGTGGGAATTTCTGATGCATGTACTATTTTGATCTCATACAGGTGCATCGTCTGCTGACGGGCGACGTATTGAGACGGCGACAATCGAACGAATAGCAGGGTGTTTCGATCGCCCGCCGGCACTTCCATCGACGTACGGACACGGGTATCGTCAATACCAGAGGGTGGAAGGAGGGCGACTGATTGCCGGCCCCCCTAGCTCCCCCGCAAATCCGAGATGATGGCATGGTGTCAACAGAGGGGGCACGCACTTTTTGCTGGCTGATAAGCGGCAGAAGCACACAGGCAGGCGGCTTGCGACGGCGCATCCTCTGAACGCGCGCAACGACGACAGTTGGAGATTGAAAGGACAAAAGCCAGGCCCGCGCCGTCGGGATGGGCCCTGTCCGTCTGTTGGTGGGCTCTTGCGTCGGGGCGTCTGGAGCCAGTAGTCGGTAGCGCGGCAAAGATGCGGCGCGCCTTGGGCTTGATGTCCGACCTCCAGCCCTAACGGGCGTTCTAGGTGCGGGCGACGGACGGCTTCGTGTGCAGCTGCTAGTGGATCGGGAAGTGGCCGAAGCGATCTGAGCTGGAGGGCAAGACAGACCAGGAGGAAAGCCAACCTTCAACCGTCAAAGGTCGGGTTGAAGCAGACGCAGCAGCAGCGGCAGTGGCAGCTGCCGAAAGGCGAGATGATGGGCTGGACGGCAGACCGACTTGGCGAGCGGAAGCGCCAGGGATGACGAGGTGCAGGAGGATGAAGCGCGGCCGAAGCAGGACAGAAAGAGGCTGCCTAGAGGCCAGGTGAGGCGATGCGGACGAAGTTTAACGGCGATGGGCAGTGCAGCGGAGTCGGTCGGTCGCGATGCGGTTGGATACGGACCGGCGTGGGTTCTATTTTGCAAGTCATTTTTTGGAGAAAGAACACCCTGCAAAGAAGGAAACTCTGACTTCGGTTTAGATTTGATGACTGCCTGCATGCCTGCCTACTAATCCATGACGCCGGTCGTGGGAACCTCGAGCCATGACATGCTGCTATGCCATGCCATGCCCGTGTCTCCTTGTGCTTCTTGTTGTTCTTGTCGAGGGGGGCAACGTTGGGCAGGTGCTCGGGGCCGAAGCGGCAAGCAGCGGCCAGCTATCAAGGCGCAATTTGCAGCAATTGCAAGGAAGGCGCTGCAAGACTACCTAATTAAGTGAACCCAAAGCACACACCTGCCTGCTGAGCAAGTCGTGGGTCGTGCTTTCCCCCCTCTTCGTCTTTGTCTTTCGCCTCCGCCTCGAGAGCAACGGAGAAGGAGCGGCGACGGCGACGGCGACGGCGGGGGCAGGCGGCAGGCGGCAGGCGGCAGGCATCTCGGTTAGTGGGGTACGTACTTGTGTCGGAGGGCAAGGGACGCACATACATACGGTACCTAGGTTAAGATGGCTCTGGCTCTCCACGTGCAGATAGATAATGTACAATGGCGCCTAGATAAGAGTACCTCCCCAGTAGGGTACGGATAGTACGATGCGGTGTAGCCAGCACATACCAGGGAGGTACCTAGTACCCAAAGTACTTCGTGTTGATGGACTGAAGTCTGAAGCAGGCCGGTCCAGTCGAGCACGGTTCCGTGTCTTTCGAGGTGTCGAGCATGGGCTACATTATCACGTCTATGCGAGTGCGACGGCGTGGGCCCGCCATATTTCCCCAGACTTGAGAGACAATGGCCGTCCGAGGAAGATACTTCGCTATACTCGGTACGTTTCTATCCGATGGGGTCATCCCAAACCTAGCCACCCGCGCGAAATATACCCCGTAAGACCTAAGAAAGCAACACGCATTTGCCTCTGATCGTCCGACACGGTGTCTCTGGAAGCAAGGCGAGGCATCCACGTAGAAAGGGCAGAAGGGGGGGGAACAGTGCAGAGCAGATGTGAGACGACGTAAGATTAGTTGAATAAGCCGGGGCGCGTAGAGCGTTTTCATCATCATCCACAAAATTAGGAACATGCGCATTCAGCTAGCTACCTTGATACCTACCTAGTGAGCAATTACAGTGTGGCGTCCAAGCTGGTAAAGAATGAAGGGGAGTAAGAACATGTCATGGACACACACACCACACACACACACACAACACAACACAACACACCGCAACTCATGCACGAGAACGCCCGTCACCAGTTGTCGAGACATCCAAGACAGACACCACACCACCCAGCTGCTGGACTCGGGACTCGGGACTCTCTGGCAAGTGGGCAACAAAACGCCTAACGCACGTAGCGCATCCACTGCGGCCACCCTGACGCAAGCTTCTCACACGCTCGTCTAACCTTCCAAACCGAGCCAAAATAGGTCCCGGTTGCCGCTGCTTTTCGGATCAAGCATAAACAAGAAGGCAACGGGAATCCGTACTTGTTCAAGATGTCTTGGTAATCCCCGCGTGGTCGTTCGTGTATGTGTAACCCTGACATGGAGCTTTACTGTTCTCGTGCGTCTGAATTCTTACTCCCGTGACCGTCCTATAGTACGGACTCGGGGCTGGGCTGGCAAGCATCACCGCACATCCGATATATGTACACAAATGACGGTAAGGATGTGGATACGGACTTTTGATAGACTCGCTGTGATATCTCACTCATAAGTAAGTCCATTCCTGCAACAACGGAGTCCGTGACCGAATGTACATACAGAAGATTTCGAGGGTGAGAAAACCAAGGTAGTGTCATTTCCGTGCTTTACTCGACGAATAGGTACCTTGTCGGTACCGTCCGTACCTTCTCTCCCTACTTACGCTTCCTTCCTCTTGTGGAGGCATCAGACGCTAAACAGAAGCGGACTAGCGTCCGGTACGTATCTGTTTACTTCCTGACTTTGATTTTCCCTCTTTTTTTTTTTTTTTTTTTTGCCCTATCTTTTTCCTCCCCTCCTCCTCTCTCCTTTCCCCATTTGTGGTCTCAGTCATTCTTCTCGCATTTTACTCCACCATATACCCCGAGGCCACAGACGACACAAGCAACGACAGGGATTTCGATCCTTTCTTTCGACCTAGAGAGGGTTTCCATGCACTTTCCCTTCACCACCTGCCGCACCTGTTGTTCCGCTGTCAATCTGGCCTGTGTCCGTACCCGTGCCCGTGCGTCCCCTCGTCTCCGTTTTGGCGGGTGTGCTCTCCTCTCGGGCAATCTCTTTGCTGAACGCCGACTGTGTCTCGATTGAGACGACTAGCACCTAGGCCGTTGGGTCCCGTCCCCTCTTGTCCCTCCACTCTTGTCTTCACCTTGCCTATCCAGGCATCATGTTATGCTGCAATATAGCGGCAAGGGCCCCTGGCTTGAGGGAAACCGTCGGTCCTGGATACTTAGTACGTGTGCTGCCCGAGCTGCCGTTTCCAGAAGCTGATGCTCGAGTGGTTCGTCAAACGGACGGGCTTCGTTCTTCTGCCAACAGGCGGTCCTGGATTTCCATCTTCGGTAGGGCTATCGCTGCCGGTGGGTGCTGCCTGTGGCGCTGCCAAGGGAACTGACGAGCAATAAATCAATCATATTGCTGCAGGAGGGTATCCATTGCTACTGTCGCTATCCGGCCAAGCAGCCTGCCACCCGTCGCCCGCATGATGTTTTGCCCTGGCCGGTGCTGGGCTAGGTTTGCTACGCAAACCGCCGTCCCGACGTACTGGCTCCCGGCCCAACATTACCATGCCCTGGGGTCTAATGTCCGCTCGACTAGGTATACCGCATCACGCTCCCTTTTCCCGATCCACGCAACCCGGGCCTCGTCAGTCGTCTCCTCTACACGCCTACCGCGAAGCCTCTCACTCACTCTTTGCTTGCTCCCGTCTTTAATCTTTAACTTCTCCTGACCACCGGTCGGGATCGAATCCGCTGCTCCCCCCGACGGCTAACTCCAGGTCGCCAGCATTCGCCCCTGCGGCAGACAGGTCCGTCTCAAGCGAGGAGCCAGCCAGAGTTCCAGCGATGTCATCCGTCCTTTCTAATTCCACATCTATTTCCACTTGCCTTGCCTTACAATGTCCTAGCGCGGATTTAGCCATCGCCCTGCAGCCGTCCCAAGCAGGGACGTTGAGGTACCGACTGGGGCGTCTTCAACACGGCTGCCAATGCTTTTGCAAGAAATGCTGGAGCCTATCGATCCCTTCCCCGTCCCCGCCACAGCCCCCATGTCTTTCTTCACTTGTCGTTTGTGCCCCCAATCCGCCTATCCTCTCGGTCATCATAATTCCATGTCACTCTCGCACTCTTACGCTGCCCTCACACACACCTAGCAAAATACCTCCTCTTTGCGCTCTCTCGCTCTTCCACACACCACACTAGTCTCTCGCCCGTCCTCATCCGCGCTGACACGCCCCCCCCTCGTCACCCCAAATGCTTCTTATCCACGCCTCCCCCTTCTCGCACGCACACTCCCTCTCTCTCTCTCACACACACACCCTTCTTCTCACACCCCTTGGATATACCCCTCCTCACACAATTGGGGGGGGGGGGGGCGCTCGTACCTTACTCTTCTCCATCCTGGTCACTCAATCCCATCTTCTCTTCTTCCCTGAATCCCTGCCCGCTGTCTGGACTTGCCTCCATGTGGTGTAGCTTGTCCCCCTCGAACATGCTCGTCTCTCGCGTTTTCCCTTCTATGCACTGAGAGAGTACGTCAAGAGGTCGGGATCTGGGCTGTTAACTCCACCATGCCATCTTTTTCACTGCCCACCTGCCATTTATAAGACAGTGCCCGCCTAGACCTGTGAGGCTGAGATCTTGAACCTTCTGGTGATATCCAAGTTTAGCATCCGTGATCTCGTTGAACCAAAAGCCTACACCCGGCAAGCAAGCAATCCCTCCTTGCCCAGTCCTTAAACTCGTTGCCTGATCGGATTGGGTCTCATTATAAGTCCATCTCGGCCTCCAGCCTTCAGACTTGGTCACTGGCTTGATACATGTGGACGACGCTTGGATATACATACAAACTTTCAGCAACACATCTCGACTTCCAACTCCCCCAAAAAGGCTCGCCCGTATGTGCCACCCAGACTTTCTTTCTAGTCCTTCTTTAGCAATGGCTTCCGGCTTTCCTGAGCAGGGTTGCGAGGACTCTTACTCACTTCCGCCCAGATCCAGAGCAGGAAGCCGCGTATCAGCTACTGCTGCTCAGTTCGCCAACATCCAACTAGTCGATTCCCCCAGAACGCTACCGTTAGAGTCCAGCCCCTCGGTCAGGTCTGAGGCTCTCCACTCCTCTGGCTATATCAGTCCCAACCCGCCCAGCTCGGCCACCTTCCTCTCCTCCCCCAACCCACAAGGATACTCGCCCTTCCCTCTGCTACCACCCGACATCTTGAATGCAGAGTGGAACGAGCACGAGGTGCATCATACTTCGGATTCAGCCCCTCTCGTTAGAGTAGACCCTGCCCGAGACTACTCCTCCAATCAGTCCTCTCCGCCACTTCTAGCCGAAGCAAGCATGAGGTGCGCTCCCAGCATTGTTCCACGCTGACCTATAGATGCATTCTGACATCCCTTTCTTTCTCTCCCAGCGCTATTGCTATGCAATTCGACCCTTCTTTCACCATGGGAAGCCGATCATCCTTCACCTGGCCCGGTAAATAACTTCCTTTGTCCCTCTTCTCATGTCTTCCCATACGTCCTAACACAACCAACCCGAAGGCCTCGATAACAGCGAGTCGAGCGGGGCGCTACTCGGCCACAACCTCTCATCGCTTGGGCACGTACCAGACACCAGCCTTACGCCTCCCAGCGGATCCAGATCAGTAACATCGAGCCCGCCGCGGGGGACTCTAACACCGGAGCAGCGAGAACTGAAGAAGCAGAGGGACATGGCGCGCCGGGACTCGAAAACATCACAGCGCGTCAGGAGGGCGGGGAGCAACCCCTACGTCCACTCGCCGCCACTCAGCCTACCAGACATATCGTCGACGATGGGCGTCCCGATCTACACGACAGCACCGGCGCCGATCTCGTTGCTCTCAGAACCAACAACAACAATGGGGTCATCATCGTACCTGCCGTCCTACAGCCCGCCTTTATCAGACCACGGCTACCAAAGCGGGTACCCCCCCATGGCCTCGGCCTACGGCATGGGTGGCATGGACTACTCGCCACAGTTCCAACAACCAACACATTACGGGTATGTCAGCCGCAAGACGGAGAGTGGGTGAGGGACGTGAGACTGACAAAGGACCAACGCAGAAGCCGACCGCAGATGCCCGTTGGACAAGACCCAAGCATGATGTACGGCGTGCCACCCTCGATGGGCGGCGGCCCCGGAACCCCAGACCAGGGACACGTCAGGGTGGTGCAGAGTCGTCCCAAGCCGCAGTGTTGGGAGCATGGCTGCAACGGGCGCCAATTTTCGACCTTCAGCAACCTGCTGAGGCACCAGAGGGAGAAGTCTGGCCAGGCCACCAAGGCGACGTGCCCCAACTGCGGAGCCGAGTTTACGAGGACGACGGCGAGGAACGGCCACCTCCTCCACGACAAATGCAAGCAGCAGCAGCAGCAGCAGCAGCGCCGGAACACGTAGATATTGGTTGGGATTAGGACGCCCGGCTTGGAAACCAACCGAGCCAGCCGAACCAACCATGCAAGCAGCAAACGAGCAACGACTACCAAAGTCCCATATTCAGTCTGCTGCTCATCCTAGGGGGCGGGCACCCTTGCCCCCCCCCCCCCCTCTCGACCCGTCATATCATTCGACATGTACATGTTATGGAGGAGGTTCTCCGTTTTTTTTTTTTTTTTTTAAGTAGGAGGGACCAAGAGGGAGAGGGACAGACAAGGGGCGCACAAAAACAACGCCGATGCGGCGACGGAGTCACATTAGCCAGTATTGCCCGAACCGGCCTCAGCATTTGGCACATCTTGCAGAAGGAGTTTCTTGCCGTGATTTTCATTTTTTTTCTTACTTACTTTACCTGATTGTTTTAGCCTTCAACGGTTTTATTGCTGTTTTTTTTTCTCTTGGTTATATACAGAGTTTTTTCTGGGGCTATGGATCACAGGTGGTGCCCTTGTTTTATTTTTAGTTTATCCCTCTCAAGCGGCGGATGAATAACGGAACTTTCGGGGACCTCGTCCCCGAGAGCACAGCAACGACTACCACTACAATAACAACAACAACAACAACAACGGCAGGAAAGGAGCAAGGGGGAGGAAAGGGGTGAAGTGTCATCGCCGCCCGAAGGCAACTTGGCCATTCTGGAAAATATACCCTTTCACTAGCGTCGCAAAGAAACGCATCTTTTTTATTCCCCCCCCTTCCTGGTTTGGCTACACTTGGTGCTCGTCGCACTGCCGGGACACAGCGCTACTACTATCTTCCACTGCCACAATGGAACACATCAGGCTGCTGCCTTAAGCAGTAAGATTACAATCTACCACGTGCGTCATGTCCCGTATATCGTAAAATGGAAACCTCCTTGCCCGGTCGATAGGTGGAGGCCCAACACCAAGAGAATAGCATAAAATAAAATGACAATGAAAGGGAACGAAAAACTCTAAAAAACTACATAGTACGTGGGAAAGGGCTGAAAAGCTCGAGCCCCTTCCTGGCAATATTGAAATTGAACTGGTCGCACCCTGCAGCCTGCAACGCCTGCTTCGTATACCAAGAATACCAGCAGGAGGGGGGGAAAAAAGAAAAGAAAAGAAAAAACTACATCGTACAAGCCAAAGCCAAGGCCGCAGGTGGGATAGCTGCCATGCCAAAACGATGGGAACACAGGTGGGGAGAGCAGGGCAGCAGGAGGGCATCCCGTTTGATGGCGGCCGCCACAACGCCGGGTCCCTTGTTCGAAAGGCGGTCGCGGGCACACACCACACCCCTCCCAGCCCTTTGACCCAAAGGAGGGAACAATAAGCATCCCTGGGAAGCGTTACGAGATTTGGACATGGGGAACCCGTTTATGTGGTACTCGTAAATCGAAGAGAAAAACGGGGCAAAGAAAGGGAACTGTTCATACCACCGTACCGTTGTCATGCACGCGACATCCTTCGGATCTTCTGGTAAGCCGGAGATACGACGGGCTGCGGAGAGTTGGATGTCGGATGGCCAAAGTTTGGACGAAATGTAACAGAGAGAATGAGCGAGGGGGGGGGGGGGGGAGGGGCGGGGTGCCGACGTTTCCAGCAACACGCAAACGAGGTCCTAGCTCCTGGAGCGTGTATTGGAGAGGGACGCCCTGTTGCCTAAGCGCCAGCGCCAAGTAAGCTGTGAGCCGGGGAGGGCTCGTAGTGATGTCAAGATCAGTCCGGCGGAGTTTGAGGGCGTGTGTGCCTCATCCGGGTGTTGCAAGGGGAGAAACACAAGGGGTGACCCCGGTTCTTAGCAATGGAGTACCAGGGATCGTTGGTCCATCATGCCAGGAGACCGGCGGCGGGAGTAATTTCTAATCCACGTGTAAGTGAAGGCATCTGCTGGGACCCGACAGAGGGGGCGGCAGGGCCGTATAGCTTGCCATAATCCAGGGATCCAAGGCGGCCAGGCACACCGTATGATATTCGAGCTTCTTCCTCGTTACTTGTACAAGGGATTCCCTCCCATCGCAGACCACATGAACCCAGGTCTCTTTCCATGACTTGAGGAAATCGTGAAAGATCCCCATCTACGAGTCGTGTGCGCGAGTGTGCGAACCGGCAGGCAAAGTGACGGGAGCAAAGCTCGAAAGCTCGCTCAAAAGTGCTTGCCCCGCGCGCGACGTTGTGGAGCCGTGGGATCGAAAGATGGTTTACGGGAAGGACGGCTCGACCAGCGTGAGATTCGGCGCCGTATGCGTACGTAGGGGCGAGGTAAGAGCCGGACGCGCAGATCGGATGGATGCTGACGATGCGGCATGGGCTCTTTTCTCGGGACCCCCATTTCGCTCCTTGTAGGCTTTTCTTGCTCTATCGACTGGAACAGAGGCACCCGACGTTGCATCGGCCAAGACGAAAGCGACAGAAGTGTCGGCTTTGGAACCCCGAGAGTCGCCAGGTTTGCAGTGCGCTTTGGGCAGGGTGATGACCTCAGCGAAAAACCGGAAGACGAAGCGAACGGCCGGGAGATGAAGGCGTCAACCGGGATAGCGATTTGCAACCTCCCCCATCTCGAACGGTCGCAAGAAGGGGCCCTCTTCAGCCTAGTCCCCGCAGGCGTTTGAAGACCCACCTCTCATGGCGACGGACCTGGGACTGGGTACCTGGGACCCGGGCTCAGGGCTCAAGGCTCTCCAGGAGCAACGAGCGGGTAGGGTAGCGATCGTCGCCGCAGACAGTCCGGGCTCCGTCGAGGCCGCGCTGGTCCTGCAGATGGGTTGTTGGGGACCCCGCCGAAGCTAACCAGCATGTCCAAAGTGCCATGGATCAAAGTAGACAGAGGCACAAAACAAGCATGGCCTAAACAAAAAGTGAGAAATCCACGCCCCGACGCTGGCCCAACGTAGAATGAAGAAAGCAACAAGCAAGAAGCATGAGTGCAGGGCAGGGAGGCGACAGCATTTACCGGGTTTGGTACTGTGTATTATGTGCGCGGGTAGGTCCCCCCACATTCCTACGCCCCCTCCCCGGTTGGGACACAGCTGCGATAGGAATAGGACGAGGTCTTAAGTCGTGGAGGTTCTGGGGGTTACAGCAACCTGGCAAAGATACGATGGCGGCTGTCATTGCTAGTTAGCGGCGGGCGTCTTTCGTCCTTGAGATGACGGGGATGGCAACCTCGTCACTTGTTTTTCCGCCACAGTTCTGTGTCTCTTGCTGGTTCGACGACGACCACGTACCTCCTCGTGGGCACCTGCGACAAGTCTTGTCCGTCTGGGTGAGTTGTTGCTGCGTCAAGGGCGTGGTCAACGTGGGATTTGAGGAGCCCGGCTGCAACGTGGTGTGGTTGAAGAACGCGTGGGTACCTAGGGAGGTCGGTAGGTGTGCAGGTGTGCAGGTGTGCAGGGCTGGGAGGCGGACGGGGGAGACAAAATCCGGAACATGATTGGTGAACCCGGACTAATAGGGGGCGAAGAGGACAGGGAAGCTGCGGATGAAGGTAAAGATGGAGCGAGAGAGGGAGAGAGTCTCTCACCTGGAAGTCGCATCGCACGCAGTCCACACCGGTGGGGACGAGTACAGAAGTTCCTTCCTGCTTTAATGGTATCTGGTGGTCCAGATGCAAGCTAGTAGCGACGGACCGGCTGACAGGATTGATTGGCAGCCAAGCGACATTAGAAGAACGAGAAGTAAACAGCGGTACTCACCTTCAAACAAGATACAGCGGCGATATGTTTTCTTCATTCCCACTTCCAACGAGAGACGTGTGCATGCGTATCCATCCCATCGACTCAAGACCCCATACTCCTTAGCGTCCGCGTGACGGGGGAACATTCCGACCTTCGGTCCCGAGCTTTCGTCCGAATCCCTGCTGGCTTCTTGCTTCTGGCTTCCGTCGATGAACCCAGCAAAGCCACCCCCTAGACCCTGTTTGTCGGAGTCTCTCCGCCCCTGGGAGGGTGGAGGTGTCAAGTCGCTAGCCGAAACTCTCGCAAGGGCCAAATGCTGCTACCTATTGCAACGTCAGCCTTTGCCAAGCGCGTACGGATACCTATTGCTCAAGTCGCAGCGACATCGACCCAGGCATAACCATCCGTTGCTCCCTTCTTTCCGACACTTGTTGAGGATGCCCCAATCCACGGCGCGATGAAGCGAGCGTATGGCTTGCAGGGAAGCGCTCCGGAAGAGGGAGGCGGAAAGCCCAATGGAGCAAGGAGTTAATCGGCTTTTGCGGGAAAGGCTGGTGAGATCTATTGGCTACCAATAGCTAATGTGTAGGTGAGATACAGGTGAGCTGATGGAGCCAGGAGTAATCTCCCGCAGCTCACCTGTATCGAGAACCACAGGCATATGCAACTACGTACGCACCGCAACATGCAGCACCACATGATTGGACCAAGAAGCGAAGTCCAACGTCGTCGTAAGCCGCGCGCACCAATATTATGACCGGGTTTGTTCTGCTGAACAATCAGTCGAACTTCAGTTGCTCATGTTTGCACACACTACGGTCAGTCAGCTGCAAGCAGACGCGCGCATCAAATCCTCTGTATCATTTCACTCTTTTCCCTGGAACCCCCACCCCAGGAGCTGCCATCGATCCTCCGAAAGTCAACCCCGCCACGACGGGAAATGCAACTCTGCTCCTGTGCAGACCCAGCCAGCTAGCCAGCCATCCTCCCCTTAGCTCCCGCTCGAGGCTTGCTAGCTACAGATAGAGATCCTGTTCATCGGATCGGGGCAGGCAGGGACTTGACATTCGGGTTGCCGACGGCCAGAAACAGACTCACCTGTGCAAAGATACAACAGGGGTATGGTGGGAGAAGCGGGGGTCGGTATCGAGAGGTGGTCCCCGACGAGGTCCCCGACAAGAAGCAACAAGACAGCAGTACCAATTGCCTTCGGCCTTTGGTCTGAAGCAGGCAACGATGGACGATCATTCCCCATTTTCAAGACCCGGTCTCGCATGTTGTAGGGATGATGATGTGACCACGGATGGGCGGGCCGTCCATCTGTAGTCTGTCTTTGCGGATGATGGTTGATATGCCCTCCCTAGATGTCGTTTTGTCGCTAGAGAATGCCAGTCTCGGCGGACACCTCTGTCTACCTCCTGAGCTTCTTCGTACGTGCAGCAGGGGGAGGAGATTGCGGTCATTAGAGTGGCATAATACTCCCCATATGGATACGTCGATGGACCCAGTTGGTTTGCAGAGAGCCTCAAGCTTGCCGGTGGCAATAATCGACCCCTAGTCCCGAACGGTCGTGCGCTGTCGGCCCCATTGCGCCTGTCGGGCAATATCTGTGAACGGCGAACGGGGGGGGGGGGGAAGGGGACTGGGGGTCATGGAGATGTCGGGCATATCGGTATTCTCCATCCGACCTTCATCTTGTGCGGGGCCTCATCCCTCGCCCCGGCCTCCATCCGCAGCCACATCCGCAAGAAATAACCTGAATGAATCCCTGAGCGCAGTCGGGATTCCCAAGACTCGCGTTGTAAATGAAAGATTGGAGGACAGGCCCCGAAAGAGGCTAGAAAACCGGCAAAACACGATGCAAGTCTTTGCGACAGGCCCAGGGACGCCCGTCGGCTGGTGTAGTGTATAGGCATGAGCCGTATTTCTTGTTCACCCCCTACCATATGGTGGTACACAGCCAAGGTATGGGACCACGCGTCGTGCCCCTGAATAAAATGGCCTCATCAACCCGGATTGCGAATCTCAAACTGAATCGGAGCTAAGATCCACCATCAGATTAAAACCACAGCCGATGTTCTCTGTGAGGCTGACCTGCAGATTTGTGTTACGACTGCGCGACAAGACAGCGCATGAGGCTCTCCCGACCGTTCGTTGCACATTGGGAACCGAGATTCAATCCTCGACCCATTACATAAGCTGTCGTCGGCTTCTCGTATGTACCAGGTACGTACCTAACTAGGTAAGTAAGTACGACGCTACCTACCTACCTTGGGTACGACTCCAGCGACCCGGTAAAGTAGAGATCCTTCCCAGGTCGGGGTTGCATCGGGATGGCCCACCACACTATGCGGGCATGACAGCAGCTCTGGGCTGCCTTAGTGCTCCTCGTCCTGCACCCTCACACATTATTGGCCGGTATACTTGACGGCGTGATCTATCTCGATTCCTATTGGTTGTTGTGCGAGCTGCAACTTCATTCCTTCGAGACTTAACATGCACTTGCTATTCGACGGTCGATATAGCGAAGTAGGCGCAGCAGTTCGAGTGAGACGCTGGAAGACTGACAGCCTGGCCCAGTGCCATGGCGATTGTGCACTGCTGGGGTTTGTAAGAGCGATGACGGGTTTTATCAAGGCCGTGCCAAACCGGCCTCATGTTGCGTTGTCGTCTTACTGAACCGCTGTCTGAAGAGCCCAGCTGTCTTTGATCGTGCCTGGGGTGGCGGGCCGCCACCTAACTAATCACTATTCGTCGCGCGCTTTTGACATTAGGATTTGCAGCAACCATCGCATGCTTCTTCTTCTTCTTCTTCTTCTTCTTCTTCTGCTGCTGCTGCTGCTGCTGCTGCTGCTGCGATGTTCAAAACGGGCAGTTGCCGTCA